TTCGTTTTCCCTGAAATTTCAGTATATTCTTTATGTTTGCACTGATTTTTCAGTTTGAAGTGTAGGACTACCCTGACGAATTTGTGTGTAGGTGTACCAGTAACACTGAAGCTTCAGTACAGTGTACCGAGTCTCACTGATTCGGGCATAGTAAAATGTATAGGGTACAGGGACATGGTGCAAGTACATGGGGCTTTAAGCCCAGAGTCATTGCCACATACAAATGTACCTGTCACATGCGAGCATTGAACCCAAGACCTTTCCGGTTACAGGCCGAAACCTTAGACAGCTACGCTACTAGTACTGAAAAGGAGGCCAAATTAAATTCTTTGCCTGGTAATCATTAAGCAATGAAATTTTACCCTGACAAAATCAGCATAAACTTGACCCCCAACGCTGATTTGGTCACTAATTTGGGCAGGGCACGCTGATCCATCAGCATACCCTGAAACCAATCTGAGGGCCTCCCCTCCCTGTGCCAAGCAGAGAGGCTGCAATACCCACCACCGGCCGGCAGGGATTCTGGACTGGAGGGCAACAGGATCAAGGAAAGGAGGTGTGGAAGGAGGTGAGTGAGCCAGCAGCAACAAATTATAATATTTCGAGTATACCGGTGGTTTTATTAGGGGATAAAAAAACAGTGTGGGAGGCGTTATCTCTGTCGTGATTTGAGAAACGGCTGGAGGGGAGAGGACTGCCGGTGGGTGCCACGTGGCGCCAGTCCGTTGGTGGAAACGGGCACAGCTCCGGCAGCAGCTCGCTCAGGCTTACCCCTCGCTGATGCCGACATGCGACAGAGCCCCACGACGCCCATGATGGGGAACCAGATATACTACCGGTAGAATCTGTGTTGAGAACTTCCACCCTGCTACTAACCCTAGTAGCCTGCTCGGCTCTTGCCTCTGCCGCTGCTGTTGGTTTTAAGCCATTTTCGCGTGCATCACTCGCCCAGCTGAACCCGTTCTCGCGCTCGTCCTCTGTGCCACATCTGAGTTTGCCCAAGTCGCTGCAGCTGAGGCTGCGCCCATGCTGATGCTTCTCCGCCGCCAGCACCGCCACTGCCTGCGGATCTTGGCGGCGGAAGTCCTCGTTGCGCCACTCCGCCACCACGCGCGCCAGCTCCGCGCTGGCCTCGCGCGCCACGCGGCGCAGGCGGCGGCGGCGCGATTTGTTGTCGTCGCGGATCGTGCGGCGGTCGGGGGGATCGGCGGCGGCGGTGGCGAGTAAGCCCTGCTGCGCCAGCCGCGCGATCTCTTCGCGTGAAACGAAGCGCCAATCAATAGCGGGGATGGGACACACAGCAGCGTCGTCGCCCGTCATTCCGACGCGACTTCACGATTTGTCCACGCGACTTCGCGATTCTTGTGGACTCTGGGGTCTGTAACGCGGTAACCATGTGTGGCGCCGTTAATACAAACCACATTACCTCATCAGCGTGCACCCGTACCTCGCGATCCTTGAGAGTATTATTCCAGCCTAACATCGCGCTGGGAGAGAGTGATCGAGGCGGGTTACGCAGCCCATGCTAGGGCGGGGCGTATTAGGTTCAATGTGACGAGCGGCGGCCCGCTCGATCCGTTGTGATCAACGCTGGAAGGACGATATGCAGCGTAGGACGTTGAATGAGACGCGAGACGGGCCACGAGGAACGAGACAACGAGGAGAGACGAGCGCTGTCACGAGTTGCGAATAGATGGCGACGATTATTAATAGAGTCGACTCGAAGATCGACTGTCGGCTGCCGTGGTCGTGGATAGCACGTCGCCATCTCCATTCACAAACGCTGCTTTGCTCCCACGCGGTGCAATGAATATGGCGTTCCAATGACGCGTTACGCGGAGCCTCGACACCCAGAGGCTCCGAGACATTGCAGAAAAGTTTGAGGTCACGCGTTAACATGGTGAAAATATAACGCGCCGGCAAATAGTCCACTGGGGGTTCAAGTTAGTCTGGCAGCGAACGCGACGGGACGAATGCACAACTAGTTACTCGTTTTTGTCGGTCTGTACGCACCGAACCGCACCTTCAAGCTCCGCGTTACCGACCAAGAAAGCAGGTCAACAATCACAGCGGTTGGGGTTAGATCTGAAGTCGACCCGAGCACATCCGAGTAGGCATCAGCGAAGCGATAAAAGATGCAACTTTCGGTGAGCACTAGTCACACAGCTAATAACGCGCGCCTGTCTGGCTCGTCGGGTTGGCTCGACTTGCAAACCGAGATGGACGGAAAAAAACTCGGGGTTGGGGCATCGTAATACCTCGCCAGCCATGGACCGCAGGTCTGCTTACCTGGCGACTAACATCAACTATGTAATATACCTGGCACCTACGCGCTGTACTCTGCTCGGCAACAAAAGTGCGAGTGTCACCTCAAGTCTCCCGCGCTGCAGAAAATCCTCGCCACGGTCTGCTGCGATTGTGTAAATCAACAAAAAGGCAGGTCAGAGTTTGAGTGGAGGGAAAAATACAGGGAAACAAACTGGGTATGGTTCTGCACGCGTGCGATTTCGGTTATAGGCGGTGACTGTGAATACTTGATCGCCAACGCCAAACCAGTCCCCACACATTCATTCAGAGCTCTGCTCAACAAGAAGTTCCACTAGGTGCAATGGGAGATCACCGTAGGAAACATTGTGGGTGCTTTTCTAGCATGTAGCTGCCATTGTTGAAGAATATGGGTAGTAGTAGTAGTACCACTGGTACTATCAAGTGAAAGTCTATCAAAGCCTTCTTTTTAGACTCTCAGATTATCCAGAACCGCAGCTAACTGAACCGCGGCAAACAGTGTGATACATACAACCCAAGCACTGCACAGAAGTGTACGAGTCTGACCTGACGTGAGGCGGATCCAACACAAGGCATCACCCACCCTCACTGTTCCGATAAGGCCGGTATAATGTCCTTGTAGAAATGCTGCCACTACCTGAGTGGTTGTTGGTAGAAGTATAGCTAGACTCTCCGGTTACAAGAGGTGTAAATGCGAAGCCTGGCAGGGATACTGGAGGATAACGAGACACAGGAGAGGTGGTGCGAGCAAGTCAGTTACCAGGCAGCAACCAGCTAGACTCTTTGATGTGAACCAGCTGGTTTAGTAGGCGATAAAGAAAGAGTGCGAGCGTTATCTCTGTCGTGATTGGAGAGACGGCTGGAGGAGAGAGGACTGCTGGCAGGTGCCACGTGGCGCCAGTCCATTGGTGGAAACGGGCACAGCTCCGGCAGCAGCACGCTTGGACTTACGTCTCTCTGATGTCCGAAAGCGTCAGAGCCCCAGGACGCACATGATGGGGAATCAGATAGAGAATCTGTGCTGGCAACTTCCACCCTGTTACTAACCCTAGTAGCGTGTGCTCTTTCTTGTGCCTCTGCTGTCGTTTCGGAGTCATTTTTGCATGCCTCACTAGCCCAGGTTAACCCGTCATCTGTGGGACATCTGAGTTTGCCCAAATCGCTGCAGCTGAAGCTGCGCCCATGCTGATGCCTCTCCGCCGCCAGCACCGCCACCGCCTGCGGGTCGTGGCGGCGGAAGTCCTCACTGCGCCACTCCGCCACCACGCGCGCCAGCTCCGCGCTCGCCTCGCGCGCCACGCGGCGCAGGCGGCGGCGGCGCAAGTTGCTGTCGTCGCGGATCGTGCGGCGGCCGGCGGAATCGGCGGCGGTGGCGACTAAGCCCTGCTGCGCCAGCCGCGCAATCTCTTCGCGTGAAACGAAGCGCCAGTCAATAGCGGGGACGGGGCATGCATCAGCGTCGTCGCCCGTCATTACAACGGGGGACTTCAGTCCTGCGATTCTGTAAAACAAGGACCTTGCGTAGCGTCGTTATGTGTAACGTCGCTTTTCCACCCCACACTCGCTCAGCGCGCGGCCGTACCAAACGCGGTCCCTGCGAGTGCCAATCCAGCCTACTATCGCGCGAGCGGAGATTAATCCAGGCTCGTTGCGGAATCCGGTACAGGGTGGGACACGAGGGTAATAGGTCGGCGTCAAAGTGACGAGCGGACCATCCCCGTTCGATCAGTTGCGACTAACACTGGAAGGACGATGTGCAGCGCGGGACGAGGGATGAGATGCGAGATGGGCCTCGAGGAGCGAGACGAAATAGTAGGTCAGTTCTTAGTCGAGATTCGAGGCGTCTCAAAAAAAGGAAGATGCGTTGTCGGGGATAGTTGGTCAACTTTTGAGTCGACCCAAGCACCAACTGCCGAGGATCGCACACCGCCATTTCCCGTTATGAACGCTGGTTTGACTTCACGAGGTCGAGGGGATGTGGTCTTCTGACAACGCGTTTCGAGGAGGCTCAATACCGGTTCCGACACATTGCAGGAAAGTCCGCCGTTAACGCGTTAACATGTGAGAAGATACTGCACGAGCCGGCAAATCCCACTTGCTGTATGGCTTGTCGTGAAAGCGACGGGATGACTGCATAGTTCCTTTCGTTTTTGTAAAACGAGACGCACAGCACCGCAAATTGAAGCCGGTCACCGGCTTAGAAAGCCGGTCATCAGTCAACGATTCGGCTCGGATCTGATCTTACAACCCGAGAACATCCGAAAGGCTGCACGAATCGAGTTTCGGTGGGCACTGGACGCACAGCTATTAACGCGTGCCAGATCCGAATCGTTCAGCTGGCTCGACGTAGGCACAAAAATGGACGAGAAGAAACTCAAGGTCGGAACCGCGCCAGCTATGATCCGCAGGCCCGCTTACCTGGAAACTAACAGTCAACTATGTGGATTACCTGGCACCTATGTACTGTTCTCCCCCCCCAGGCAACGCAAGTGCAGGTGCCACCTCCAGTCGCCCCTTGCAGAAGGAATCCTCGTCACGGTCTGCTGCGTTTGTGGAGGTGTGGATGTCTTGTTCCAATAAAAGGGAAATCAAGGTTTGGGCGGAGTGCAGGCGTTCTTGCTGAAGTTACACCTACAGATTTGGCTGTGCATTTGCGACGGTGTGCGATTCTGATCATGGGTGGTGAGTGGGTGCGAACAACAAAAACGGGTAACATGCCCATAAGACCTATCCACTGGTACCTCCAAAGTATCAGGGCTCAGCAAAAAACCTAGACCTAGTCTGCCATTTCTAGACCATACTTGAGTATTCCAAATTCCGCGGGAATTCCAAGGTGGCGAGTCGGGGGCTCCTAGCACGCCTCTCAGGGTTACGCCTCTTGCTCGCTAATTCCACAACGCAGCCTAATCCGTTCCCTCGCCGATTCTATCGCGAAACCCGTTCTTGCGCGATCATGCAAGCAGCGGCAGCAGCGGGATCCGTGCTTAAGGGCGTCGCTGGCCTCACTCAGTCGCCTGCGACGACCGTCGGATCCCCTAGCGGGGGCAAATCGACGGCTGGAAGTGCAGCATCCGCCATCGCCGCGGCCGCAGGACCGGTTTCTGGTGCCGTCGCGACATCAGGGATCGGATTTGGTGCTGCGATCGGATCTGCTCCGAGCTCCATCCGCGGCTTCTCGTCCAGCTCTAACACGCAGGTTAGGTCCTTCTCTATGCGTTTAGACAATCAGTATAGTGTTCTTCTGCTACTATGATACGCATTACGCAAATTCGCGGTAGATCGAGCCGACAGCTTAGCCAATTTCTCGCGAAGTTTCGAGTTGCTCCAATGCTTTCGTTGAATTCGCGTTTGGCGATGCTATTCGCTGACTAAATTTCTTCTAATCTCCTTATCAAATCCCTTATTCCCGTGCAGCAAATGACGGAGGAGGCTGCAGCGTCGGAGAAGGCGGCTGCGCCCGCCGATGGCGCGGTAGCGGGGCTGGCGGTCGCCGCCAAGGAGGCGGAGGAGGAGAAGCCGCAGGAGATTTTCCTCGCAGACTACAAGCCGCCGTCGTACCTCTTCGACAAGGTGGGTTGACCGGGTTGATTTTTTTTGCACTCGCGCGCTACTACGGCTAGTCCTTCACTTTCTCCCAGTTACGTCGTGAGCCTTTTACTTCCTGTCCCCTTTGGAATCTACGTCTTGCATGGTTTCAGGTCTCCCTGGATTTCGATCTGCATGACGACTACACCATTGTCAAGTCAGCCATCACTGTTGTTGCCAACGACAAGGCGGAGAAGCCAGGTGAGAGACGGCTGTGCTAGGCCACCGCTGCTGGTCACAAAGTGATTCAGAGCTGTCATGGGTTGATTAGACACAGTGGCGCCTGATGTTCTAGCGCACTTGTACTTCCTTCAATCACGGTTTTGTTTCTTAGTGACTCGTGTTTCCATTCTCCCCATCATCTTTGTTTGTTGTGTCTGATTATCAGAGAATGGGCCTGCGCCGCTGGTGTTGGACGGCCACGATTTGGAGCTGGTGTCGCTGCAGATTAACGGAGTTGATGTGCCCGTGAGTTTCGAGGCTGAATGATAACTAAAGCCTGCTGACGGATTGACAGGCTTGTAGGCTGGGCTGTTGAAGGGGCGCTGAAAGCATCGTTAGAATACACCCCAACATTCTTTTCCATAATGACAGGCGGAAGTTTTGCTGATATTCGCTGTTTTTTCCTGTTCACTGTGTGGCGTGCTGACAGGCGGAGGAGTACGTGAAGACGGCCAAGAAGCTCACTCTGCTGTCCCCGCCTGCATCGCCCTTTACTCTCTCCATCGTCACTCGCATCAACCCCGCTGCCAACACCTCCCTCGAGGTACCCCGCTCGCCCCACCACGACTTTGAGTTCTCTTGCAGTTCCGCAAGTGCCATGCACGCTCTCTCATCACATGTTGCAGCGAGCTGCATCACGTTCTCGCGTGCCTCTAATCCACTTGCTCTTCACTCCTGATCTCTTTGCCCTCTCGCTCACCACCTGTGCTCACTTGATCGCTGTCTGTTTGCTCGGCTTGCCTGGTCGTGTGGTGTGCCACGGCGGGAGGTGTCTCGTCTGTGTTCGCATGGCCGAGTGCCACGTTGCTCCGCCTCACCTCTTGCCCCTATCTGCAGTAGGAAGTCGTCTCATTGGTGCTTTCATGGTTTCGGCCACATTCCCCCCGCCCCACTTCACCTCGTGCAACAGGGTCTGTACCGCTCAAGCGGCAACTTCTGCACGCAGTGTGAGGCGGAGGGCTTTCAGCGCATCACGTACTACCAGGACCGCCCCGACGTCATGTCGCGCTTCACCTCCTCACTCACTCACTCACTCACTCACTCGCCCACCCACCTATGGTCCTGTGCCTCACCCCGTGCTCCAGGGTCTGTACCGGTCGAGTGGCAACTTTTGCACGCAGTGCGAGGCAGAGGGCTTTCGCCTCATCACCTATGGCTTTGTGCCATGTTTCCGTTCCTCGTTTCTTGCCTTCGTTTCCACAACAGGGTCTGTACCGGTCGAGTGGCAACTTCTGCACGCAGTGCGAGGCGGAGGGCTTTCGCCGCATGACGTACTACCAGGACCGCCCCGACGTCATGTCCCGCTTCACCTCCTCACTCACTCACTCGCCCACCCACCTGTGGCCCTGTGCTCCCATGGTTTCGTGCCCTGTTGCCCCGCCTCACCTCTTTGCATTGCAACAGGGTCTGTACCGCTCAAGCGGCAACTTCTGCACGCAGTGCGAGGCGGAGGGCTTCCGGCGCATCACGTACTACCAGGACCGCCCCGACGTGATGTCGCGCTTCACCGTGCGCATGGAGGCCGACCAGCGCGCCTGCCCCGTGCTGCTCTCCAATGGTAACCAGATCGACGCAGGCGTGCTGGGCCAAGGAGAGGGTGCGCGGCACTATGCGGTGTGGGAGGACCCGTGGCCCAAGCCGTGCTACCTGTTTGCGCTGGTGGCGGGGAAGCTTGTGTGCTGCGAGGACAAGTTTGTCACGTGCAGTGGGAGGGAGGTGGCGCTGCGCATCTGGGTGAATGCGGGCGACGAGGGCCGCACCGCGCATGCCATGAAGTCTCTCAAGGAGTCGTTCCGTTGGGACGAGGAGGTGAGGAGGAGAGGGGAAAAAAAGGGGGGGTAGGGATGGGAAAATGGGGGGATGGGTTGGGTGGGAGTTGGCGGATGGGGGCGGTGGTGGGTGGGGGGTGAGGGGTATTGTGGTTTGAAGGGGTGAGACGGGGATAGGTTGAATCAGAAGAGCATTTGTAATGCTTCTACAAGCCACGGTTGTTCCTTATTGGTGTTTGCAATGAGACGAGATTGATGTTGTTGTTCCTCTGTGTGTCCCTCATGCCGTGCCGTGGTGGCAGGTGTTTGGCAGGGAGTACGATCTGGACCTCTTCAACGTCGTTGCGGTGAGTGCTCGGGGCGAGTGTTTGGGGGGCGGGGGGGGAGGGGGGGGGGGGTACAAAGCCGCGCATGGAGGTTTCGTGCTAGGACTGTGCATGACACTCATTCATCTGGGGCTTGGCTGTGCGTCTTGCCTTCCAATATTCTCCTGGTTTCCTTCTGCTGCCTGTACTCTGCGGCCCCCCACTTCCCCGTTCTCCCACGCTCTTTTCTCTTCGTATGAACCTACCAAACCAACCTCTCCCCTTTGTTCACTCAATTTTTTTCTCCTCCCACCGCTATCCGTTGCTCGCCAGGTGCCAGACTTCAACATGGGAGCTATGGAGAACAAGAGCCTCAACGTGAGTGCCTTGGCGATTCATCTGCTGTTACTCTTTTGTGTCTCTAGCCCCTGGGGTTCGTATTCATGTCTCCTGCGTGCTTCCTTCTCCTAGTAGGCTGGCCGTTCATCCAGGTGTCTCTCTTACATCTCCTCCTCCTTCCCTGCATGGCCGCGCTTTGGTCATCCCTCTCGTCCCTCTCGCCCCTCGCCGATGGCAGATCTTCAACTCGCGGTTGGTGCTGGCGTCACCAGAGACGGCCACGGATGGCGACTATGCGGCCATCGAGGGGGTCATTGCCCACGAGGTAAGCCCTTTTCACGCCTTGCCTTGCCTGCCTCCCTTCCATTGCTGCTTTGCCCCTATGGCCCCTCTCCCACTCCCCTTCCCACTCCCTCTCCCACCTTTCCTCCCCCATCCCCTCCCCCTCCACTTCCCCCTCGCCGTCCCCCTCCACTTCCCTCCACTGCTCGAACCTTGAATCTTTCTGTTGCGTTTACCCTGCCAGCTTTCGCGTTTCCTCTTGCTCTTTGCTGCTCCAGCTATTCTGGTGTTTCATCCAGCCTCCTTGTTGCGCGCATGTGTCTTTGTGTGTACGTGTGTTCCCCCTCGCCCCCCCTCTCCCCTTCCCCTTCGCCCGCCCGCCCCCCCTCCCTCCCCTGCTCCAACCTGAAATCTTGCTGTTTCGTTTACCCTGCTACCTTTCGCTTTTGCCTATTTTTACCTCGCCCCTTTCTCTACTATGCTCCACTTATCCTGTGTGTTTCGTTAGCGACTTTAGTGGTTCATCCAGCCTCCTCGTTGCACGCATGTGTTTTGGTGTGTGTTTGTGTGTGCGGGGTTGAGCATGGTGTGCGTATGTGGAGGGGGGGAAGGGAGGGGGGAGGGAGGGGGGAGGAGGATGTGTGTGTGTGTGTGTGTGTGTGTGTGATGCGGGTGGGTGTGTGAGGGGGTGGGCGATGGTGTGGTGTGTGCTGTGTCTCCATTGCCTCCTGCTGCTCCACTCTGCCCCTGCAAACGCGGGTCTCCATGGCACGACTCGTCGACTCCTCGACTCCTTCCTCGCCTCACCAGTACTTCCACAACTGGACGGGCAACAGGTGAGACTCGTGCCACACGGCAGGCCTTGCCTTGTGACCAGCCTTTGTGCTCACATGATCACACTTCCCGTGCTCTCTGCCTTCTTGCCTGGTCTTCTTCTCTGCCTCCGCCTCGTGCACATGTCCCCTCCCCTCTCCCCCTCGCCCCCTCCCCTCTCCCCCTCGCCCCCTCCCCTCTCCCCCTCGTCCCCTCTCTCCTCTCGATCGATCACTCTCTCCTTCTTGCTCTTTCACCCTCTCCTCCTCTTCCCCTCGCATTCTCTCTCCCTCATTCCCTCTCCCCCTCTCCCCTTCGCCCCCTCTCTCCCTCCCCACTCTCCCTCCCCTCTCCCGCCCGCTCCCGTCTCCCCTTCGTCCCCTCTCTCCCTCACTCCCACCACCTCTCTCCTCGTCGCCCCTCTCTCCCTCTCCCTCTTTCCCTCCCCCTCTTTCCCTCCCCCTCTTTCCCCCCCCTCGTTCCCTCCCCCGCTTTCCCTCCCCCTCTTCCCCTCCTCCCCCACTGCCAGGGTGACGTGTCGAGACTGGTTCCAGCTCACGCTCAAGGAGGGGCTCACTGTCTTCCGTGACCAGGTGGGGCGTGGTGGGGTGCGGTGGGGCATGTTGGAGCATGATGGGGCACGGTGGGGTATTGTGGGGCATTAATGGGGGGGTGATGAGGCCAGGTGGTGCATGGTGGGAGGCGCGGTAGGTGGTGGCTTGGGCGTGGGGCTTTTCATGGTGTGAGTTCAAGTTCAATCAAGTACATGGCGGGGCATATCTGTAGTAGTCTCCTAGATTCTGCAAACATAGTAATAGTACCTTTCTGCACCTTCTGTCCTCTGGTTTCTCAACCCGCTGTTCACCCCATTTCACCCCATCCTCCCTGATCTCACCACCCCATCTCAATCCATTTTACTCCCATGGCAACCAATCCCATCCATCTCATCCATTTCACCCCATTCCACCGCATCTCACCCCCTCAGGAGTTCTCATCGGACATGAACTGCCGTGCAGTGGAGCGCATAGCCAATGTGGCTGTGCTGCGCGCGCGCCAGTTCTCTGAGGTGCGCCTCTCTCTCCTCATCAGGCCTGCCTCCACACACCCTTCACAACGCTCGTTGCCATGAGTCCTTTCTAAGATCCTCATTCCGTGGGCTGTGCTGTGGTCTCTGCGCTTCAGCTGACACTTAGCTCTTCTTTCCACCTCGTTAGTGTGCATGTCTCGTCTCCCTGTGCTCTCCGCGTCTTCTCGGTGTCAGACGTTTTGAAAGTTTGATTGGTGCTTGCGTTGCTGTGTTGCAGGATGCGGGTCCCATGGCACACCCTGTGCGCCCCAGCTCATACATCAAGGTGAGCAGTGGGCAGTGGGCACTGTGTGGAGGAGAGGACCCGATCGTGCCCCTGTGTGGCATGTGCGGTGCAGAATGCTTCGTCTTGCTGTATGCTATAGCCCCTTTTGTTCTTGCCCAGTTAGATTGTATCGCCCCTTTTGACTTGGACTCTACTAAGACTCTTTTTTCTTTTTCTGTTCTACCTCCTCCTGTGCTTGCTCGACCCATCTCTGCAGATGGATAACTTCTACACAGGTGCGCGCTTCACCTCACCCACACCCTCCATTTTATCCGTTAATATCCCCTTCGTTTCTGTTTTTTGTTCCACACGTCTTCCCCGCCTCCCCTCCCCCCCTCCCCCGCCTGCCAACCCGTTTCTTCATGCGTGTTTCGTGTCACCGCACTGGTCCCGTATGCCTGCTCTGCTCCCATGTGCACCCTGCGACAATCACCTCTTCACCTATTCAAGCTCAACTAAACCCCTCGAATCCCCCTCCCATGCATCCCCACATGGATCGACTATTAACCCTGTTCCCGACTTGTGCCATCTGACAACACTCCAGTCACCGTTTATGAGAAGGTGATCCTCCTTCCCCGCCTCTTCTCACTCCCCTCTTCTCACTCCCCTCTTCTCACTCCCCTCTTCTCACTCCCCTCTTCTCACTCCCCTCTTCTCACTCCCCTCTTCTCACTCCCACACTTTCCAACCACCCAACCTGTTCTCCCTTTCTTGGCTTCTCTTGCTCCCCTTCCCCCCCCATTCCCCTCACGACACTCTCCATGCTTACTGGTTTTGCCTTGGTATATGGCATAGCAGTTCCGACTCATTGTATCAGTGTTTCGCCTTTTGATACCTTGTTGGTCTTTTGGCATCCTAGTGCATGTGCCCCCTTGTATTGTGCTGGCCTGTGCCCCTGCTCAATTTGTACTGTGCAATGCAACAATTGGTTCTCTCCATGTGCTCTTCTTGCATTCGCGCGCTATGGCATGGCATGGCGTGGTATTGTATACGCTATGCTCTGTGTTTTCACATGCCATGCTCTATGCTTGCGCATGCCGTGCCACACCACATGGCTGTATGGCACACACACACCAGGGGGCGGAGGTGGTAAAGATGTACCAGACACTGTTGGGCAAGGACGGCTTCAGGAAGGTCAGTGTAGTGACACACAGCCCACCGCCACACACTGTACCACACCGCGTCACACCGCACCACACCGCACCGCACCACACTACACCACAACACACCAGGGAGCGGAGGTGGTGAAGATGTACCAGACACTGTTGGGCAAGGACGGCTTCAGGAAGGTCAGTGTAGTGACACACAGCCCACCGCCACACACTGTACCACACCGCGTCACACCGCACCACACCGCACCGCACCACACTACACCACACCACACCAGGGAGCGGAGGTGGTGAAGATGTACCAGACACTGTTGGGCAAGGACGGCTTCAGGAAGGTCAGTGTAGTGACACACAGCCCACCGCCACACACTGTACCACACTGCGTCACACCGCACCACACCGCACCGCACCACACTACACCACAACACACCAGGGAGCGGAGGTGGTGAAGATGTACCAGACACTGTTGGGCAAGGACGGCTTCAGGAAGGTCAGTGTAGTGACACACAGCCCACCGCCACACACTGTACCACACCGCGTCACACCGCACCACACCGCACCGCACCACACTACACCACAACACACCAGGGAGCGGAGGTGGTGAAGATGTACCAGACACTGTTGGGCAAGGACGGCTTCAGGAAGGTCAGTGTAGTGACACACAGCCCACCGCCACACACTGTACCACACCGCGTCACACCGCACCACACCGCACCGCACCACACTACACCACACCACACCAGGGAGCGGAGGTGGTGAAGATGTACCAGACACTGTTGGGCAAGGACGGCTTCAGGAAGGTCAGTGTAGTGACACACAGCCCACCGCCACACACTGTACCACACCGCGTCACACCGCACCACACCGCACCGCACCACACTACACCACAACACACCAGGGAGCGGAGGTGGTGAAGATGTACCAGACACTGTTGGGCAAGGACGGCTTCAGGAAGGTCAGTGTAGTGACACACAGCCCACCGCCACACACTGTACCACACCGCGTCACACCGCACCACACCGCACCGCACCACACTACACCACACCACACCAGGGAGCGGAGGTGGTGAAGATGTACCAGACACTGTTGGGCAAGGACGGCTTCAGGAAGGTCAGTGTAGTGACACACAGCCCACCGCCACACACTGTACCACACCGCGTCACACCGCACCACACCGCACCGCACCACACTACACCACACCACACCAGGGAGCGGAGGTGGTGAAGATGTACCAGACACTGTTGGGCAAGGACGGCTTCAGGAAGGTCAGTGTAGTGACACACAGCCCACCGCCACACACTGTACCACACCGCGTCACACCGCACCACACCGCACCGCACCACACTACACCACAACACACCAGGGAGCGGAGGTGGTGAAGATGTACCAGACACTGTTGGGCAAGGACGGCTTCAGGAAGGTCAGTGTAGTGACACACAGCCCACCGCCACACACTGTACCACACCGCGTCACACCGCACCACACCGCACCGCACCACACTACACCACACCACACCAGGGAGCGGAGGTGGTGAAGATGTACCAGACACTGTTGGGCAAGGACGGCTTCAGGAAGGTCAGTGTAGTGACACACAGCCCACCGCCACACACTGTACCACACCGCGTCACACCGCACCACACCGCACCGCACCACACTACACCACACCACACCAGGGAGCGGAGGTGGTGAAGATGTACCAGACACTGTTGGGCAAGGACGGCTTCAGGAAGGTCAGTGCTGCTCTACACGCTCCTGCCTCCGTGCCACGTGCGCACTGTCATGCCATGTCATGGGACTGGGTCCTGGAATATGAGAATTCGTTTCTGGTTGCATATCGTTTGGGTTATCTGATTCTTTCGACTGGATTTATCGACCTCGTTGCCTGCGCTGCATTTCCCGCTCTTCCGTCGCCTATGTGCTCTGTCTGTACTTTGAGCAACACACACGCCGACAGTGAATGCTCAATCCTGACAGGGCATGGATCTGCATTTAGAGCGGCATGACGACCACGCAGGTAGTCAATGGTTGAGACGTCTTTCTGAGATAGCCTCCCCCCGCCCCCTCCCTTTCTTTCCTTTTTCTGCCAGGGCATGGACCTGTATTTCGAGCGGCATGACGGGCAGGCAGTGACGTGCGATGACTTCTTTGCCGCCATGGCAGATGCCAATAACGACAAGCTGGAAGGCTTCAAGCCCTGGTACGTACTCACTCGTACCTAATTTCAGAGACTAGAAGGGAGGCGAGTGGGTACGAGTCTCTCATCCCCTGCACCTCTTCCCCACGCCTAGTAGTCTCATCCCTTCACTTATAATCATTTTTTGCCGGTCCGTCCGTGGTTCCATCTGTCTGTCGGAGTGTCTGTTCTTTTTCTGTCCTGTACTGTAGGGTACGACATGCATGGCTGTGCTTTCACTTGCACTGCACATTGCAAATCACAGCCTCCCTGCCATTCTGCTGTGTTGGTCTGCTGCAGGTTGTCCCAGGCAGGCACACCAGTGGTGACAGTGACATCGTCGTACAATGAGAAGGACCACACCTTCACGTTGCACTGCAAGTGAGTTGTGGGTATTTGAGGCACTGCAAGTAAGCCACTGTATTCTTGAGGTGCCTGAGAAACAGTGACATCATCATACAATGAGAAGGACCACACCTTCACTCTGCACTGCAAGTAAGCCACTCTGATCGCGCCATTCTGTTATCTTAACTTGATTTTGATCGCAATTTTATCGCTCTATGTTGTAAGCTGCATTCCGCCTTGCTCTTTAACTTCACTCTGTTCGTTGCTCCTTAGCTTTATCTATCCTTTCTTCTAAATACTCTCCCTTGCCCCTGTTGCTTGCAGGCAGGAGATCCCTGCAACGCCCGGGCAGGACAGCAAGGTGCCGGTGCTCATCCCTCTCGCGGTGGGGCTGGTGGGGCCGGACGGCAAGGACATGCCTCTGCTGCACGTGTTCGATGGGGACAAGCTCACTGACCTCGATGGCCCCACGACTACTGTGCTGCGGTTCAACAAGGTGTGGAAGGAAGGGAGTAGAGGGGGCGTTTGTTCCCAATTCATTCGACAAGAGAAGGGAAGAGGGTCCAGTTAGGCAAGGACATGCTGCTGCTGCACGTGTTTGATGGGGAGAAGCTCTCTGACCTCGATGGTCCCTCCACCACCGGGCTGCACTTCAACAAGGTGTGCCTTTTGGGTCGACCACCACTGCGCTGCGATTCCACAAGGTGTGCAGGGAAGAGAGTGGAGGGGTGGGCAAGGGAAGACGGGGATTCAAAGAGACACAGGTAGGCATGTGCTGCCGTGTCTGACGCGTTTGGTGCCTGATGGCAAGGGTATGTTTATGCTGCCCGTGGTTGGTTGGAAAAAAAAAATATTACTTTCATCTTTTCCACCCACCGTCCAATCACCCATCCCCTTCCTGATGTGCCCCAACAGGCGGAGCAGGATTTCGCCTTCACGGACGTGCCGCACACCCCTTCCTTGTTCTTCCACACACGATCCCTCCCGCCCATCCCCACCATTCACCTTGCCCCCATGTGAACCAACAGGCGGAGCAGGACTTACACCTTCACGGACGTGCCTCACACCTCTTCCTTGTTCTCCCCAACACCCATCCCCACCGCTCACCACCCCCCATGAACCGCAACAGGCGGAGCAGGACTTCACCTTCACAGACGTGCCACACCACCCCGTGCCCTCGCTGCTGCGCGGTTTCAGTGCCTCCTGTGCGCCTCAGCACCCATCTCCCCCCCGCCACCACACGCCAACAGGCGCAGCGGGATCTCACCTTTATGGATGTGCCCCACATCTCTTCCTTGTTCTCCCACGCGCCATCCCCCCTGCCCATCCCCACCACTCACCTCCCCCCACTCCCCCTCTTCCCCTCGCACATGAACAGGCGGAGCAGGACTTCACCTTCACAGACGTGCCGCACCGCCCCGTGCCCTCCCTGCTGCGCGGCTTCAGTGCCCCCGTGCGCCTCAACGCTGACCTGTCGCACGCCGATTGGCTCTTCCTCCTCGCCAACGACTCTGATGAGTTCAACAGGTGGGCCTCCCTCGCCTGCCTCCCTCGCCTGCCTTTCTCGCCTGCTTCCCTCGCCTGCCTCTCTCGCCTGCCTCTCTCGCCTGCCTCTCTCGTCTGCCTCTCTCGCCTGCCTCTCTCGTCTGCCTCTCTCGCCTGCTTCCCTCGCCTGCTTTCCTCGCCTGCCTCACTGGTAACCTGATGCGCTGTTCAGCGCGTTATGCTGTTGCACACTCTGCGCTCTTCTGCACTGATGCGTGCGCTGCGCTGATGCAATCTCTGAGCTGTTGCGCTGTGGTGCTGGCGCACAGTCGCGCCCTTGGGTCGTTGCGCTGTCCCCAAGCATCTACAGGCTGCAGTCCCACGCTTCTGCAGGCTGCAGTCCCACGCTTCTGCAGGCTGCAGTCCCACGCTTCTGCAGGCTGCAGTCCCACGCTTCTGCAGGCTGCAGTCCCACGCTTCTGCAGGCTGCAGTCCCACGCTTCTGCAGGCTGCAGTCGCCATGGCAGGTGGGAGGCATGTCAGGTGCTGGCCCGATATATGCTGCTTATTGGGGCGCCTCAATAACTCTTTCTCTTTCTCCCCCCGTCGCCATGGCAGGTGGGAGGCATGTCAGGTGCTGGCGCGCAAGATGCTGCTGAGGCTGGTGGACGACTATCGCAGTAACAAGCCGCTCCATATGGAGGATGACTTCACTGACGCCCTTGCCAAGATCCTTGCTGACACGTCACTGGACAAGGTGAGGTTGGGAAGGGGGGGTGGGATGTTGGGGGGAGGGGGAGGGCAGGTATTATATTATACTCGGAAGTCAGCGCATCACCTTAGGAGGATGACTTCTCTGACGCCCTTGCTAAGATCCTTGCTGACACGTCACTGGACAAGGTGAGGTTGGAAGAGGGGGAGTGGGGTAGAGGGCACACGTGGGGGAGGCATGGGGTAGGCATGTGGGCAGATGATGGCAAGGTGGAGATGATGTGATGGGTGGATGGTCAGATGTTCATTCTCTCCACTATAATCTCCCATCACTGCACTGCACACCTCTCTGTGCAGATGTTCGTCGCGCGAGTGATCTCCCTGCCGGGCGAGAGTGAGATCGCCGACCTCATGACGCCGTATGCCGACCCGGATGCCGTGCATGCCGTGCGCAAGTTCTGTGTCAAGCAGATCGCCACGCGCCTGCGCCCCACTCTGGAAGCACTGGTACGGCATCACCTCGTAGTCTCGCTCTCGAACGGTCCTTGTATGACACCTGCCAGTATGCTTTGTGAGTCGACTGCTTTGTGAGTCGACTGCTTTGTGAGTCGACTCAAAAGGCGACCCGGATGCCGTGCATGCCGTGCGCAAGTTCTGTGTCAAGCAGGTCGCCACGCGCCTGCGCCCCACTCTCAAGGCTCTGGTAGGCCCATCAACTATTGCGTTGGTGGTTTTATCTCTTTTGAGCCCACTTATCCTTAAATAGTCGTTAGAAGAATGAGAAAAGCATGCACTGGAGGAGGCATCTCTTGGTGAGTTCGAGTCAAGTCAGAGGGCATGCGGAAAGCAGTAGGCTCATGCGCTTTGCTCAATGTGCCCTCACATCCCTTATCCGCTGTCCATTCGTGCCCCTCACTCCCATGCCCTCGGTCTGTGTCCCTTGCTTGCCTGCACTGCACCCCATGCGCCCGCCCTCCATGCATCCGCCCCCTCTCAGGTGGAGAGCAACAGGGCACCCGAGGGGGAGGCGTACAGCCCTGATCACGCCAGCATGGCCCGCCGCTCGCTCAAGAACGCTGCCCTCTGTGAGTGTATCAGCCACTGAGGTGCCATAATATCGTGATGCCATCTGCATTTGTACCTCAGCCCCGTCTCTCGAAGTCCCATCTCTCTTCTTTGTTGCCTTCCCCCACCTCGCAGCCCCTTTGACCCGCCTCCACCCCTCCTTTTTCCCCCCCTCCCCCGTTTTTCTCCTCCTTTTAATTCCACCTTAATTCCCCCCCCCCCCCGCCTCTTCCCCCCCTTCCCGCAGTGTACCTGGCATCGCTGGACGATGAGGCCTCTGGTGTGCTGACGCTGGATTTTGGGGTGCCTTATAATCTCCCCCACCCTGCCCTTTCCCTCTTTGCCAGTGTACCTCGCATCACTGGACGACGAGGCATCGCTCGCCCTCGCCCTCTCGGAGTTCCGCGCAGCGAGCAACATGACGGACCAGTTTGCTGCCCTGGCCGCGCTCTGCCTCAACCCCGGTGCTGCCCGCGATGAGGCGCTGCAGGCGTTCTACGAGCAGTGGAAGCACGACGGGCTCGTCATGAACAAGTGGCTGTCGCTGCAGGCCGCATCGTCCATCCCTGGCAACGTGGAGGCGGTGAAGAGGCTCATGGAGCACCCCGCTTTCATCATCACCGAACCCAACAAGGTGGATCTTTCTCGCATGCACCGCCGCTTGTGTGATAAGTCGATTTTCCAGTCGGCTCAAAAATCGACTTGCTCGGCCCCTCCTGCTTCCATCCTGCTTTCGTCGTTCCCTTTATCGGAACGCTGCACACAACCCTGAATCATTCTGTGCAGCATCCACATGTACGCACCCATAGGGATGCTTTTTTTCCAATTCTGTGACTGACTCAGAAATTGCCTGCATGCATCTCCCTCCCTCCACTGCATTCATCGCCGTCCCACTGCATACACCTGACTTTCCTCTCACTCGGCACCCCAATCCCACCAGGTGTACTCGCTCATTGGCGGCTTCAACTCATGCGCTGTCAACCTGCATGCAGCGGACAGCAGTGGGTACCGCTTCCTGGCGGGTGGACAAGATCAACGCCCCACCCGGTCTAATGCCGTGCTTTCTCCCTCCCGCCCTGTACCCCACACCAGGTGTACTCTCTCATTGGTGGCTTCAACTCATGCACTGTGAACCTCCACGCGGCGGACGGCAGTGGGTACCGCTTCCTGGCGGACGTGGTGTTGCAGCTCGATAAGATCAACGCACAGGTGGCTGCCCGCATGGTCTCCGCCTTCACCCGCTGGCGCCGCTACGACGAGGCGCGCCAGGCGCTCGCTAAGGTGCGTGATTTGAAGTGTGTCAAAATACAGGGCAGTGCTGTGTATGTTGAGGCGTCTCTCAGAGCGCAGGTGGCTGCTCGCATGGTCTCTGCGTTCACCCGCTGGTGAAGCTACGACGAGGCCAGGCAGGCGCTTGCCAAGGTGCGTGCATGGCATGGCCAACCCTCTCTGGACCCGCCCTCCTCTCCTCCTGCCCACCCCAACACCTTCCTACCCTACGCCGCTGCCTTATGTCTTCCTAGGCTTGCCACACCGCTGTTCGTTTTGTTCTCCGACTCCTCTTGTGCACCCCCTCTGTCTGCCTACTCCCCTAATTCTCATGCCCATGCTTCTCCCCTGTGCACCATCAGGTGGAGCTGGAGCGAATCCTAGCATCGGAGGGTCTGTCGGAGAACGTGCATGAGAAGCGCCTCTTTACTCCCCTTGCCGTGTCCTCCAGGCATTCAAATTCCTCACTCTTCACTCTCTCACATTCACGCTGTCCCCCTGCATGCCGCTACCAGGTGGAGCTGGAGCGCATCCTAGCAGCGGAGGGGCTGTCAGAGAACGTGTATGAGATCGTCTCCAAGAGTCTCTCCGCCCCTCCTGCCTCCTCCTAGAGGCACCGCGGCCTGCTTGTGAAAGCATGGGTGTGCTGTGCACTTTTTCAAGAGCTGGTTCGCTGCGCTGCCTTGCACCTGGGGAGCTTGCACTGCTTGCATTGGTTCGTCTGCTGGGATCGGCAGCGCCTCTGCTGTGGTTCTGAAGTGAAGTGAGCCTCTCTTGCAATCGAGAGCATTTGACGAGTAATTGGATCTTCCAGGGACCAGCAGATCATGCTGCATTGCCTGAGTGTTTTTATTATGAATATGGAATGGAGAGATGCATGGAGCGCATGGTACATACTACTAACACGCTCTACGCGCAGCGTATTGGCACTGCGTTGCACAGCTCCAAGCTGGTTCCTCTGCCCTCCCAGCCAACTCACTACATTAGGTCATCATCATGTCTTCAGGACACGAAGTGCCCAACACAACACATACCACAGTGGGCTACCAGAAGAGAAACTCTGTGCGGCACCCTTTCTTCTCTGACTCGTTCACCACCTCCCCACTCGCTATCTCCTCATCGCACACAAACGAGTCATGGCAGCTGCCCCTCCCCAGGGCCAGCCTCATTCTCTCCACATCCAGGGAGAACGTAGATGTGCACGTGCCTTGGAACACACTGCCCCGCACCGCCACCACCTTATCTACCTCCGCTTCTACCTGCTTCAACTGCGTGTCATCCAGTGCCCCGAACCACCGCTTCAGCCCCGGCCAAGCGTGCACGCCGGTTACCACTTGGGTGGTGAGGCCAGGAGGGAGGACGGGTGCTCCTGGGGGAGGTGGTGGGGCGGGGTCCCTGGCTTGAAACAGCTTCTTCACCTGCTGCACCTGGTGGTGATGATGGTGGGTGGGGGGTTGGGTGGGGGTTTGGGAAGGGAGGGAAGTGATGTCACGAGTACTTGCAGGCTGTTTCACAAAGGCTGAAGGGGACTTTGTAAAGACATGTCTTGGCAGATGACAAGTGAGAGGAAGACACTTACCGTTGATGGCAATCCCCAAAACATGTTTTCTCCTTATCATTCCCAAGCATACCTCCTGGTGGCCAGCATTGGTGGCAATGAAGAGGTTCATGAGCTGGTGCAGTCGCAGCTTCCTCTTAACACACGCCACCACCTGGTGAGGCCCCAGCCGGCACCCCACGTCCAGCTGCTGCCGCTCACAGCTCGCCCGCAGGTCCCCTGCCCTCAAATGCAGGCTCAAAAACGGCTTCTGCCCAAATTTCTCCTGGACAAATTCTTCGGCTGCCCCGAAAATTTGCGCGTCTGGCTGCACTGCGAGTGTGCTCGGGCAGCCGGGCAGCCGTTGGAAAGGAAGGTCGCCCCACGCCAATGGGTGCTCCAATTCTTGAAAATGTGGGTAGCTGTATAAATCCCCCAGTAATATCACATCCGCATGGCCCGTATGCGAATTGAAAAACTTGTGAAACTTCTCGAGTGTTCCCGCCGCTGACTGCGATACGTGACCCTTTATATTCACATCGTCGGGTATATGCACATTCGTCTTCATATCACGCGCTGTAGAGGGAATCGATCCGTACCTCCAGCACAGCACCCGATCCAGCTCCACCTTTTTGCCATACTCGTTATAGTACTCCTCAGTGGTCTGTACAGAGGTGGGCCCGTAGCACTGGCGCGCGTGTGCGATGTCGAGGAGGAGAGAGTAGTTGTAGGCTCGCTTGGTCTCCGATGGCAGTGCGTTCACGAGGAGCGTGCGGCTGAGCAGACCGGCACAGAGCAGGTGCATGCGAATGCACTGCACCCAGTTGCTTATCTGCGAGGTGTGGGGGGTGAGAGGGGCAAGGCAGAGGAGCACTTGACGGGACGCTGTGGAAGAGAGAGATGGAAAGAGGAAAGCAATGCACCCAGTTGGTGATCTGTGCGGTGGGAGGGATGAGAGGGGCAAGGCAGGGACGCATATGGAGGGAGGCAGTGGAAGGGAGGTGGAGCGGAGCAGGTGTGTTCGGATCGTATGCAGTGCACCCAGTTGCTGATCCGACAGGGTTGTTGCAAGGACGATAAAGTGAAGGAGTTACTCTGAAAAGGGATAAGGAATCACTTGAGCAGCAGGCAGGGGGCATGTCACCTGGCCGCTGTCGCAGTGCATGAGAATGTACTTGTGCTCCTGGGGCGTCCACTGCAGGGGCGGCGCTGATGCTGGTGCTGCTGCTGTCGTTGCTGTTGTTGTGGTGGTCGCATTTGCATTATCCCCTGCAGCAGCAGCTGCTGCTGCTGCTGCTATTGCGTTGGCGCCATCCCCTGCTGCTGCTGCCACGGCTTGTGGCAGATAGAGGCGGGACTGCGGGCAGGCAGCGACGGGCGGTGGAGGGGGAGGGGGGATAGGGGGAGGTGGAGGAAGGGGGGATGCTGCGGACTGGGGAGCGGTGGGAGAGAGGTATGGGGGCGGGGCAGAGAGAGTCAGGGCAGCGGTGGGTGGAGGAAGGGGAGACAGCGCAGGGGAGGCGGCAGCAGGAGTGGGGGAGAGTGGAGGAAGAGGCGTGCGTTCTGGTGGTGGCGCTGGTGGTGGCGATGGTGCTGCCAGTGGTGCTGCGGCTGGTGGTGGTGTCCCCGGTGGCGGTACCAGCAGCGGGGAGGATGGGGGGTGGAGGGGCGGGAGGAGCAATGCGAAGAAGGGGAGGTGTGGGGAGGGTGGAGGGAGGGAGAGGATGCTGCTGAGATGCCTGGTGCCGCTCTCCACCGCGTTCAGCCGCACAGCACCGTGAGATAAAGGAGTTGGTGGAGTGTGTACGTGCGAGGGCAGTCACATGGGGTAAGGGGCGGGAGATGGGAGGAAGAGAGGGGGGAAAGAGGAAGTGGCAAAAGGAAAGGAAACTGGTCATTCAGGTCATCAGTAAAAAAGAAGCTCACTGGCTCTTTCCTCCTCAGTGGGTCTCACCGGAGGGCAGTGAGGGAGCAGCTGACGTGGCCATATGACTCGTTCAACGGAGTCAACGGAGTCAACGGCGCCACGTTTGCCATGGGCGGAAGGTCTCCGCCCCCTGCGCGCAGCAGGCGGAAGCTGCGCCAGGAGCAGGCGGGGAACAGGAGGTCCGCCGCGGCGATCACGAGCGCCAGCAGCAGCAAGCGCAGATGGCGCAGATGGCGCACTCCGCCAAAACCGAAGGGCGCGCGGAGGGGCGCGCTGGAACGGCGGGAATGTTCTGACGACGAAATGAACGGCGCAGCGTCATCGTAGACGGCGCCGTCAAAAGCGTCGCGGCTGCTGTCTGATTCGCCGAGGCGGGCGTCCCGCCACGGACCCTGCTGACAGCGGCACGGCATCCTTTGTACGCGCTATCAGACGTCTCGATACAAGCACGCTAGCAGCGGCGCGGAGGCATTCCCCGCGCGACCTACTCGGGGCGTGTCAATCGGTGCGTTTACTGGCCAGCAAGACCTCAGCGCAACATGCGCGCGTCATGACGCTTATCCCCTTGCCTCCAGGCTACGCGTTGCGCTACATCCGCAGTAGGGGCACGAACACGAGCACGAGCGCGAGCGCGAACGACTGTCGTGTCGCGTGGAGACTACTGGTATGAATTTATCAGCGCCGTAGTGTGATTTGATAATTTCTAATATTGCTGTTGCGAGCTGATAGCGGTTCCATCTTTGATCCGTTTGAAGCGCATGCGGATGCAGTATAAACTGTCAAACGATTAACGAAATCTTTCTTTACAAGATTAGGGCGTGACACAGAAATTGGTGTCATTTACAAGGGGCCTAACAAAAATGATAAGCTAAATCGTATCCATCACAGGAGCTATGCCCGTATGTAGAACGGTTAGGTAGCAGCAGCGTCAGCACGCCTCTCCTCTGCGCCTGTCTGCAGCTCTTCCGCTCCCCGTTTGAAGCACATCATCGCTGTATTATCACGGCCTTACGCCGAGTTTAAGGTTTCTAAGTGACTCTCAGCGTCGGCCTGGGTCACACTCGGTGAAGTCACGTTCCATATAAACACATTCGGCGGAGTCACAAGGCGGGTTCAGCATGGCCAACCTGCAGGCTCGAGTGGCGCAGCAACGATTTGTGCCGCACCGCGGCGTGGCTGACGTGGCGCGGACTGCTGCAGCGCGGGCTCCTGGGCGACCGGCTAACCGGCGACGACGGGTTCGTGTGACTGCGACTGAGCGAACGCGGCTCCTGATAAAAATTCAGATCGTCTCTCCAGCTCCCGCCGCCATTACCAACGTCGAGGGAGCGTCGACCCGTCGAGCCGCTGCAGCCGGTTTCAGCGTCATTCCAGCTCGCGAATCCCCTGCCGCTGCTTTCCCGCTCGACGGATCCGCATCTGTCGACCGAGCCGCACCTCTGGACCGGAGCGGAGGCTGAGTCTGTGATTGGCCGGCAGCTGGTGTGGCTTCGCGCCCACATGGAGCGGCCTTCGCGGTCGAGCGAGCCGAGGCGCGTTAGGGTTCGATGCGGCCTAGACGCGGACGGGAACGTCGACGACGAGGATAATGCAGGTGACGACGCTGCTGACGTGGCGGAGGCGGCTTGGAGCTCGGATTCGAGCATCTCGACGAACTGCTGGCATCGGACGGCGGAGAGTTGTCGCTGCATGTCGAGGAGTCTAAGTTTGCCCTCGAGCGCGCGCGTGTCCACGTCTTCTAACTTTCTCCGGATAATCTGCGACGGTGACAGGCTGTCGTCGACCAAGAGGCGAGGCATGGAAGGGTCGTCTAACGAACTGTGATGGTCCACGCACACGCGAACTCCAGACGCCATTGTTGCTGAGGGATGTGGGATCAGCGGTCAGATTCGATCGGCGTGCTCTGTTGGCGGAAAAGGCGGCTTCTTCTAAAAAATTTCGTGAAGTCCGGCGGAGACAAGAAGCGCGTTCGCAGATTTAGCTCAGCAGTTATAAGCTCCCGTCACACGAAGAAATGACAGGTTCTAACTTCAGACTACGAACAAAGGAACCGGATCATGTAAGATTACAGTGGGAGTGATCGTGGAAACAGAGCTACCCACATTGCAGTTGAACGTGAAACAAAGAAGCGACTCCAGATATCAATGGCTGCTGCTCTTTTGTTGCAAAATCGTGCTTCTCAACTGGTCCGCAGAGAAGGTAACAAGAATGCAGCGAAGATGTGTTGTGCTCTGCTCCATGTTCTGACATTCTCCCTCCCGTTCTGAAGCGTGAGAGGGAACCCGCGCGCCTCATAATTTCTCCAACGACTCCCCATCGACGCGCAAACACGTTGCGGTTGCTGTTGCACCCAAGGCACGTCAGGATCACATGACATGATTCTCACAAATCAATGCTTGCAAGCACGCTGGCCAGCTTGACGCGACAGGTAGCCCCTTGGACGGGTGGAATGAGAATTTGTTCCTCTACACAAGCACGATGGACCCCTGAAAGTCTCAGCTTCGGGCAGCCATATACGTCAGCTAATGCTCTACGTACATGTATAGGTTTCCTTGTGATGCTCACCGTTCAGAATCACCATTCGACTCGAAAATCATACAATAGTTTTTTTTTGGGAAGGATGTTCTGTTGAAGGGTCGGATGCTCATGTATCTTGCTGACGTGGACAGTGAAGCGACGGAGTCAGATGCCCCATGTGTTTGTGGCGGCAAACAGCTTGCCGATGCACCACTGGAATGTGCTCGATCCCCATTGTGCTTACGCGGATCGCGCACAGCCAGAGACGAGAACACGCTAGCAACAGTTGCGCATGAAACGACGAACAGTTCCCCTCTTCCGGTGTGTATCTGGCGTTTCTCGAATCTCTATTCCCCACGCCACGCCGTTATGCAGCATCCAATCCTGTGGATCGCTGAGCCGTGTGCGATCGAAGAGCTCTGATTGCCTTGCATTCGCGTTGTGTGGATTTGGCAAAAATCACCACCATTTTCACCGAGGAAACGCACAAACTTCCCAGCAACCGAGCTGCACCACACACCGCAAGAGTGTCAGTGTGTCTGCTTCGTTGTCTGACAGATTCTGACAGGGGCTACAGAGCCCCTGTCGGATGTTTGAGATCAAGAGCGGATTCTGCTCGAAGAATAACGGAAGAGTGACTGGGCTCCTTCGCGTGCGCGTACAAAACGGCCCACACCTCTTCACTGATATCCCGTGGTGGCGGAGGTTCGCTGTCCGAGTCGTCTGTGACGTCGCGGGTCAACCCAAGCGCCTGTGCACGGCGCTTGGCGTCCGCTGCCCTGCAGGCCGACATATGACGCGTGGCCTTTCCTCTCTCCGTGAAAGTGCGATAACAGGTTTCGCACGGGATGCGGGGCGGGGGTGTCAGCATAGGGTCTGGGTGCTCCTCTCCACTCGAACACGCCGGCAAGACCTGTCTGCTCGACTCCATCTCCATCTCCCCCTCTGGCAGCCTCGCAAGCTGCACCCCATCGGGCAGCTCCTGCTGCCCTCCGCTCTGCAGCTGTTGCTGCCCTCCGCTCTGCAGCTGCTGCTGCCCTCCGCTCTGCAGCTGTTGCTGCCCTCCGCTCTGCAGCTGCTGCTGCCCTCCGCACTGCAGCTGCAGCTGCCCCCCACTCTGCAGCCGCTGCTGCCCTCCGCTCTGCAGCTGCTGCTGCCCTCCGCTCTGATTGGGCTGCTGCCCTCCACTCTGCAGCTGCTGCTGCCCTCCGCTCTGCAGCTGCTGCTGCCCTCCGCTCTGCAGCTGCTGCTGCCCTCCGCTCTGATTGGGCTGCTGCCCTCCACTCTGCAGCTGCTGCTGCCCTCCGCTCTGCAGCTGCTGCTGCCCTCCGCTCTGATTGGGCTGCTGCCCTCCGCCCTGCAGCTCATGCTGCCCTCCGCTCTGCAGCTGCTGCTGCCCTCCGCTCTGCAGTTGCTGCTGCCCTCCGCTCTGATTGGGCTGCTGCCCTCCGCTCTGCAGCTGCTGCTGCCCTCCGCTCTGATTGGGCTGCTGCCCTCCGCTCTGCAGCTGCTGCTGCCCTCCGCTCTGCAGCTCCTGCTGCCCTCCGCTCTGCAGCTGCTGCTGCCCTCCGCTCTGCAGCTGCTGCTGCCCTCCGCTCTGCAGCTGCTGCTGCCCTCCGCTCTGCAGTTGCTGCTGCCCTCCGCTCTGCAGCTGCTGCTGCCCTCCGCCCTGCAGCTCATGCTGCCCTCCGCCCTGCAGCTCATGCTGCCCTCCGCTCTGCAGCAGTTGCTGCTGCCCTCCGCTCTGCAGCTGCTGCTGCCCTCCGCTCTGCAGCTCCTGCTGCCCTCCGCTCTGCAGCTGCTGCTGCCCTCCGCCCTGCAGCTCATGCTGCCCTCCGCTCTGCAGCAGTTGCTGCTGCCCCCCACTCTGCAGCTGCTGCTGCCCTCCGCCCTGCAGCTCATGCTGCCCTCCGCTCTGCAGTTTCTGCCGCCCTCCGCTCTGATTGGGCTGCTGCCCTCCGCTCTGCAGCTGCTGCTGCCCTCCGCTCTGATTGGGCTGCTGCCCTCCGCTCTGCAGCTGCTGCTGCCCTCCGCTCTGCAGCTCCTGCTGCCCTCCGCTCTGCAGCTGCTGCTGCCCACCACTCTGATTGGGCTGCTGCCCTCCACTCTGCAGCTGCTGCTGCCCTCCGCTCTGCAGCTGCTGCTGCCCTCCGCTCTGATTGGGCTGCTGCCCTCCGCCCTGCAGCACATGCTGCCCTCCGCTCTGCAGCTGCTGCTGCCCTCCGCTCTGCAGTTGCTGCTGCCCTCCGCTCTGATTGGGCTGCTGCCCTCCGCTCTGCAGCTGCTGCTGCCATCCGCTCTGCAGCTGCTGCTGCCATCCGCTCTGCAGCTGCTGCTGCCCTCCGCTCTGCAGTTGCTGCTGCCCTCCGCTCTGCAGTTGCTGCTGCCCTCCGCTCTGATTGGGCTGCTGCCCTCCGCCCTGCAGCTCCTGCTGCCCTCCGCACTGCAGCTGCTGCTGCCCTCCGCTCTGATTGGGCTGCTGCCCTCCGCCCTGCAGCTCCTGCTGCCCTCCGCTCTGCAGCTGCTGCTGCCCTCCCCTCTGCAGCTGTAGTAGTTTGGTTGCCCGTCGCCTCCGGCCCCGCCCCCGCACTCGGGGCCTTTCCGCTTGGTCCGAGGAGTCGGGGTTGGCATTCTCACCCTCCATGGGGCTTGATTCCAGCTCGTCGGTGTATGCCTCGGCCTCTATCTCCACATCCAACTCCCCCAGTGGGTCTTGCTGCCCTCCGCTCTGCAGCTCCTCCTGCCCTCCACTCTGCAGCTCCTGCTGCCCTCCACTCTGCAGCTGCTGCTGCTCTCCACTCCGCAGCTCTTGCTGCTCTCGGCTCTGCAGCTCCTGCTGCCCTCCACTCTGCAGCAGCTGCTGATCTCCTCTTTGCAGCTGCCGCTGCCCTCCGCTCTGCAGCTCCTGCTGCCCTCTGCTCTGCAGCTGCTGCTGCCCTCCCCTCTGCAGCAGTTGCTGCTGCCCTCCGCTCTGCAGCTGCTGCTGCCCTCCCCTCTGCAGCTGTAGCAGTTTGGTTGCCCGTCGCCTCCGGACCCGCCCCCGCACTCGGGGCCTTTCCGCTTGGTCCGAGGAGTCGGGGTTGGCATTCTCCCCCTCCATGGGGCTTGATTCCAGCTCGTCGGTGCCTGCCTCGTCCACCATCTCCACATCGCTCACCCACAATGTCTCTTGCTGCCCTCCACTCTGCTCCTCCTGATGCCCTCCACTCTGCAGCTCCTGCTGCTCTCCACTCTGCAGCTCCTGCTGCTCTCCACTCTGCAGCTCCTGCTGCTCTCCACTCCGCAGCTCATGCTGCCCTCCCCTCTGCAGCTCCTGCTGTGCTCTGCTTTGCAGCTGACGCTGCCCTCCACTCCGCAGCTGCTGCTGCCCTCCGCCCTGCAGCTGCTGCTGCCCTCCGCTCTGCAGCTGCTGCTGCCCTCTGCTCTGCAGCTGCTGCTGCCCTCCGCCCTGCAGCTCATGCTGCCCTCCGCTCTGCAGCAGTTGCTGCTGCCCTCCGCTCTGCAGCTGCTGCTGCCCTCCGCTCTGCAGCTGCTGCTGCCCTCTGCTCTGCAGCTGCTGCTGCCCTCCGCCCTGCAGCTCATGCTGCCCTCCGCTCTGCAGCAGTTGCTGCTGCCCTCCGCTCTGCAGCTGCTGCTGCCCTCCGCTCTGCAGCTGCTGCTGCCCTCCGCACTGCAGCTGCTGCTGCCCTCCGCCCTGCAGCTCATGCTGCCCTCCGCTCTGCAGCAGTTGCTGCTGCCCTCCGCTCTGCAGCTGCCGCTGCCCTCCGCTCTGCAGCTCCTGCTGCCCTCCGCTCTGCAGCTGCTGCTGCCCTCCGCCCTGCAGCTCATGCTGCCCTCCGCTCCGCAGCAGTTGCTGCTGCCCCCCACTCTGCAGCTGCTGCTGCCCTCCGCTCTGCAGCTGCTGCTGCCCTCCGCTCTGCAGCTGCTGCTGCCCTCCGCTCTGCAGTTGATGCTGCCCTCCGCTCTGCAGCTGCTGCTGCCCTCCGCCCTGCAGCTCATGCTGCCCTCCGCTCTGCAGCAGTTGCTGCTGCCCTCCGCTCTGCAGCTGCTGCTGCCCCCCACTCTGCAGCTGCTGCTGCCCTCCGCTCTGCAGTTGCTGCTGCCCCCCACTCTGCAGCTGCTGCTGCCCTCCGCTCTGCAGCTGCTGCTGCCCTCCGCCCTGCAGCTCATGCTGCCCTCCGCTCTGCAGCCGCTGCTGCCTCGTCCCCTCCGGCGGCTGTCGGCCTCTTTCCCGGCTCCCCTGCTGTCCGCCCGCCTGCAGGTCCCACCGGCCCCCCACCGGCGGCTCCCGTTGCCTGTCTCTTCCTGCCGCCCTCCGACGCCGCCATTCCTGCCGCCGTGCGAGACGTGGCACGACTAGGGGAGAGTCGACGTCGGTCGAGCAGGCACTGTGCCGCGTTACGCTCTCAGGTAGGCCACTCCTGCGAGTGTTGTGCTGTTGTTGCAAGCGCCTACGATGCTCTTCCCAAGCTGCCCTCGCAGCCTCCAATGCCACATCGGCGGCCAGACTCTTGTCGCCCATTGCTTCTCCCCCCTCTTCGTTGACGGCCGAAGGCTCTGAGACGCCGCTCTGGCCAGCCCGGTTGCTGGGGGGGTTCTTGGGGGATTGTCCACCTGTAATTGCTGAAATCGGGCGGTTCGCTTCAAAACACCGCCTCTTGGGTGGTTTGCCGAAGAGGCACAGAATGTCTTCGTGGCGGAGGCGACAGATGCGTGGGCTCTGGAGCGCACCCTCAGGCCCCCCCCGTCTTTTGTGGCCAGCCCCTAGGCAGAGCGACCCCGTGACTGCCGCCGTGCTTGTCCCCCCTTTGCCCCCGATGGCCTCCGTCGTGCCGTTGTTTGCGCCGTCTCCCGCCCAGACCCCGGGGTCCCCGGGGCCTGGGTCGTCTTCCATGATAGCGTTTCAGGTGGTACCTGGTGGTTTCTGCGGCGATTCCGCCCTGCTGAGGCGAGATCGCGCTGCCTGGTGGCGTCGAGGCGCTGCTAAGGGGCGATTTTGCGATGCCTAAGGCGTCTGGCGCTGCTGAGGCGAGATCGCGCTGCCTGGTGGCGTCGAGGCGCTGCTAAGGGGCGATTTCGCGCTGCCTAAGGCGTCTGGCGCTGCTGAGGCGAGATCGCGCTGCCTGGTGGCGTCTGGCGCTGCTAAGGGGCGATTTCGCGCTGCCTAAGGCGTCTGGCGCTGCTGAGGCGAGATCGCGCTGCCTGGTGGCGTCTGGCGCTGCTAAGGGGCGATTTCGCGCTGCCTAAGGCGTCTGGCGCTGCTGAGGCGAGATCGCGCTGCCTGGTGGCGTCGAGGCGCTGCTAAGGGGCGATTTCGCGCTGCCTAAGGCGTCTGGCGCTGCTGAGGCGAGATCGCGCTGCCTGGTGGCGTCGAGGCGCTGCTAAGGGGCGATTTCGCGCTGCCTAAGGCGTCTGGCGCTGCTGAGGCGAGATCGCGCTGCCTGGTGGCGTCTGGCGCTGCTAAGGGGCGATTTCGCGCTGCCTAAGGCGTCTGGCGCTGCTGAGGCGAGATCGCGCTGCCTGGTGGCGTCGAGGCGCTGCTAAAGGGGAGGTCTAAATTGTCGAGTTTGACAGGGTCAAAAGCTTGGGAGGGGCGTCAAGAGGTTCCTTTGGAACTCGATAAGAGGATGTAAAGGACGAGTGCATTGTTGTAGGGATTACAGTATTGTTCTATTCATATTCTATTTACTTGAAAAATGCAATACGTGGTTCACAAATGTTGCCGTAGGTTATGTGAATTTGGACTATTTTGCTGACTTGGATGTAACAGGATGCAATGCAATGAAAGCGATTGTCAGATCTCAGTATGCGAGACTCAAATCATGCATAACAGGGTGCATAGTGGTTTCATACGTTAAACTGAGGTGCAGTCGGATAAGTCGTGGTCGCTTTCGATGACACCCATTCTTGACCCCGACCGCCCGTCACGCATCCCACTCCCTCGAAATTCGCCCACCCCCCTCCCTCGCAATGTCGGAATCTTTCATCTCGACACAATTTTAGCTGCCAGCCACCACCATTTCTTCACCAATCCCACAGTTTCTCTTCGCTTCCAGTCTTTGCACCATCTCAGACACCAGTACAGTAGTATCCGCCGCTCGTTGGTATCTGCAGTTTCTCGCCCTTTTTGCCACTAAATTGCAACATGGCCGGAAGGTGAGTTTGAGGACAAATGTTCTGTCTCTTGATTTGGGTCGCCGAGTTGTGGGGATCATACGCTCGTTGCTGTGTATCGCTGCGTTTGCGTGTTGGAAATTCACAAACCGCCCCCCCTCTCTCTTAGGAGATACTGTCACGCGCTCGCTCGCGCTCGTCACCGTTTTCGTCACGAAGTACGGTCCTTCCCCCTCGTTCCTTCTCATGACGTCACTACCCTGCAGCGAAGGCGCGGCCAAGGCGCTGCACGACAGGTCGGTGGGGCTGAAGCTGGGCGATCGCTTTCCGGACTTCGAGGCGGACACGAGCACGGGCCGCATCAAGTGGCACGACTACATCGACGGCAGCTGGGCCATTCTCTTCTCGCACCCTGGTACGCGTCACACCTTGCATGTTGCTCTCTGCTTACTTGTAAGGGAGCAAAATTGGTCAAGAAAATAGTAGTTATTGGTGCACCATCAGACTTTTGGCACCGCAGATGTTGATTTCTTGCGGCGGACACGGATTTTGCGCTGCGTGCCTCCTTGCAGCTGACTTCACCCCCGTGTGCACGACGGAGCTGGGCAGCGTGGCGAAGTTCGCAGAGGAATTCGCGAAGAAGGGCGTGAAGGTGGCGGCTCTGAGCTGCGACAGTGCTGACTCGCACCGCGCGTGGATTAGCGACATAGAGGCCTTCACTCCAGGCGTCAAGGTATGTCATGCCTCATAACGCGCTCCCTCAATACATGGCAATTCACGTTCCTGAATAAATTGGCAACAGAAAGCTTCCCATCAAGACTGATTTCTTGTCCCGCCCTCCCCTGAATTATGGTCCACTCCCCACGTCAGGTCACGTATCCAATAATCGCGGACCCGAATCGCGACATCGCGGTGAAGCTGGGCATGCTGGATCCCGTGGCGAAGGACGCGGCGGGGCTGCCTCTGACTGCGCGCGCCGTGTTCGTGGTGGGCCCGGATAAGACGCTCAAGCTCGCCATCCTGTACCCCGCCACCACCGGACGCAACTTCCATGAGGTGCGTGCGTTGTGGCTTCACAGGGCGTGAACCACCATTCGCGCGCAGTTTGAAAAACCCAGATGCGGCGTGGCGTTTCTGTCACATCTCGTTTTTGCCCCAGTCCCCACCTGCCGCCTTTCCCTCGTTACCACTCTTAGCTCCCGCTTCCGTTCCCTTCCCTCCCCGCTCATCCATTCACCCATGGCTTTCACTACCCCGTTCATATGCACTGCTGTGTGTCAGATCTTGCGGGTGATAGACAGCCTTCAGCTGACTGCCAAGTACAGCGTGGCGACGCCAGTGGATTGGAAGCACGGTGATGACGTCATCGTGGCTCCATCAGTCAGCAACGAGGTGGCTAAAGAGAAGTTCCCCAAGGGCATCAAGGTGGGTCGTGTATTTCACCCTCTTGAGTCATTTCCCTTCACCCATCTAGCTTTCCGAAAAGAAATCTCACCTGGTGTTGCATCCTGTATGGTGCTGTGACCTGTCTGTACTGGCTGGTGGGGTGCTCTGTGCATGCTGCAGACCGTGGATCTTCCCTCGGGCAAGTCTTATTTGCGGACTACACCACAGCCAGATCTGTGAAGTCCATTGGGGAAACATCCAAATGTTTTCTGTATAGAGCTTTGCTTGTGTGTGGGGCACATCGCGTGGTGTATATAATGTACAGTTCTAGAGGCGCAAAGCAGCACCTGTCTTTTGGAAGATTTTGATTTTTTTTTCGAACTTGATATTCCAAGTATAATAATTCACATAAAAGGCGGATACATGTGTCCACCATAAAAATAAGAAACATAAAAAAGGGGGAAAAAGAGGCTGTACAGAGGCCCTCCTACGCACGTGCCATTGCCTTCCAGAGAAAGGGCAGAGGCGCCCCAAAAAACGGGAGTCGGAGGCACGAGCTGCGGGGGATGCTGGTAGCTAGCAGTCTGGGCGGCCAGAAGCTCAAGAGTGGCTTCCGCCGTCGCCGCTGCTAATGCTGCTGCTGCTGCTGGTAGTTTCGCTTTTGGGTCAACTTGTGATGAAGTCTCTAGTTTCCATTCCTTTTCTCCATGTCCTCGCCGCGCATAAAACGACGGTCGAAAAAGTCACAGCGCGACGAAGAGTGGATAAAAACATGTGGGTCGACCTCATCCCCGCTCTTGCTTCACGCGAGGATGCCAAACGCGGCTCCGAGCCGAAGGCTGTTGATGTCACCGTCAACGGTAGGAGTTGCCGACGCGCAGACGCGGCCGCTTAGCAGCGCCCAGACGTCATAAAAAGGCGGCCGCTGCGGGCCAAAAAAGCGAGAGCAGGCTAAAACCAGCGCTCTCGAAGAGGAGATGTGGAGCTCATAGAACTTGCCGATAGCGCACCCGGTGAGTGAATGGAGCGGAATAGCCGATGGATGCTCAGAAAAGCTCGCAGTTGAGGCTCGAGTGGCGGCGGAGCGACTTGGAGTGGTGGCGAGTCGAGGCTCCATGCGACCGCGTGGAGCGGAGGCGGCGGGAGGAGGAAGCGGAGCGGGAGAGAGAAGAGGAGCCGCAGCTGTAGAAGGAAAGGTCCTCCTCCCACGTGCTGCGACGCGACGCGCCCAAGTCCAAGGACCTGCGCGACGTGCAGCGCGAAAGGCGGCCGCTGTCGCTGGCGTCGTCGTCGTCGTCGGTGTTACTGAGCGAGGACTCGAGCATCTGGATGAAGGACTGGCAGTGAAGCGCGCTGAGCTCGCGCTGCGTGTCGAGCAGCTGCAGCTTGCTCTCGAGCGCGCGGATCTCGACGTCTTCTAGCGTGCTCCGGATTACGCGGGAGGCGGCCCGGCAGTTAAGGTCGTGGGTTGTGGAGAGGAGAGTAGCAGAGGACGCCATGTTGGTTTGACAAGGTTCAAAAGAAGTCTTGGTTCGCGTTGGGCTGAAAAGTGGCGCTTGTGAGGGCTTGAGAGGAGAATGCTCTTTGTAGTGCTGCTGAATGGATAACAAAAGTGGTGTGGTGTGTGTCTTCTCTACAATATGAAAGGGCAAGAACCTAGAGGGTCGCGGCGCGACGCAGCCAGTCCAAGGCATGAGGCACGAGGTGAGGGGACTTTTTTGGAAGGCGAGAAGACGCGCGAAAATAGGGGGCAGCAAGGCGGGTTGGATTACAGCTGGGCATTGTGTGGCTTGCATTGTGCGGTCGATCCACTCCAAGTCAGCTTCTTCCAGTCAGGTTTCTGTTTCTCCTTGCTTCTGATTTCTCAGAACTGTGCTGACTCGGCGACATTTTGTCCCTTCTTGTGGAAGGGGTTGATTGGCCCGATTGCCCTTGGGCTCAGTTCCCACGCATTCACCACGGGCGTTAATTTCGTTGGGATTCACGAATCATGACGAGCGCCAGGTTCACGATCCGGTTGGAGGAGACGATCGCATTCATGTTGCCAGCTGTGTTACATTCAAGCACGTTTAGTAGTGTGTTTCTACATTAAATGCGCTCAACCATATACAAGCGCGAAATGTTCGCATTGGTCAGCATCTTGGCGGGAAAGAGAAGGTCAACCGTACTAATCATAACAGGGATGTGAGGTTGCTACAAAAAATATCACATCCTGCAAAATGCTTGTTTTTTGCAGCCCCGTAGCACATAAAAGAATATGAATTTCAGGTAATGTTCCCCCTCACGTTGCAAGCATGGTTCTGCAACTGCTGACATTCCTTGACAAAATTGTCGATGCGTACAGATGCTGCTGAATTTCGGGTTGCATGCAACACAATTTCGTGAAAAATCGTAAATCAAGCAACCACTCTACGTCCGCCACAGAAGTTCACGAGATTTCGCATCCACAAATCCCTTCTGGCCCCTATGCGCCAGCGGGGAGACAAATCCAACTAGGCAAGGAGCTCGCAATAGGCACACTCGATAGCGATCTCTAACGAACGCAGTGCCCCCTCCCTCCCCTCCTTGCCCCCATCTCTCTCCCACCCAAGTTCAAGCTGGCAGCACGTGAACAAGATGGTCACATGCCACCTCACAGTTACGAGAATTCCCTCGAGACATCGAATCTCCCGCAGTTTCTTGCATCTGTCCCAATCTACTGCTCTCCGTAGGTGCGTAAGCCGACCTGCATTCTATGCTCCAGCACAGTCGGGCATTCTTCCTTTTCAACCAGTCAGCACCACCAGCACATCGACGGAATAATCTGGTTCATCTGGATATGACTCTGACCTGACATAGCATGACTCGGCAGACGAGGTTTGAGCTTCTAGACCTCGGCAGATGGATTCAGATCATCCGCATCGACAAACAACGCCGTTTACGCATACGCTTGCCACAGTCCACGATGCGATGCGAGTCCTGGGCATGGGGGATGCCGACCAACAGACATGTGCGAGGTAGCGAAGAGCAAGGGGGGCTTACGTCACCCTTACGCGAGCGTCACCGAGGCCTGCCTCGGCTTGTTTCATTGTTGCGTCTCGATTCTGCCGCGCCTATGGGTACAATCGTATCGCCTGTTAGTCTCCAATCTCCTTCTTCGAAGCCTCGTTTTCTCTGAAGCCCGAACCCCGTTTCGGTCTTCCGAAGCTCCAATTTGTGTTTGACCTGATTTCAGACACGAGATACGAATGTGCCCTATGTTACAAGCGTCACCAATGGACGACAAAATTAACTTGTGCGCGTAGCCTCGCGGAACCCTACAGAGGAGTCTTGGGTACTCTCGTGTGGTCTCTGCGTTCTCTAAACTGGGGCACAGGAGCCTCTGCTACGTTTGTGTGTTCTTTGCCTGTTTCTTATTAGAAACAAGGAAGACCCCGAGATTAAGCATGACATATCGGGAGGACAATGCCGCTAAACAACAACCAGAATGTACCTTTGAAATATGTATGCAGGTATACAAAGAGGAATGCATGGTGAACACATTTGAATTGCAACCATGGGGACCTACGACGGACTCTGTTTCAGCACAGGAGATGAACGAGTGGCCATATATGTGGCTATTGGAACCCCCTTACACAGCATAATGACACTCTGCACTACAAAACATAGCAATGCCAATAGAGCAGTCTATATAAACCGAAACTGACTCAATTTGCTGCTACCGCCTGGGTATTGTAGGCTTGTATATTGGTGCGATTTCGTGCTTGAGTTGCAAGGCCGAGGTACATTGAACTTATCCAGATGGGGGCTGGGCGACGTGTTACATGAGCGAAGCGTGCGATGTGTGTGAGAGGATTCGCACGGCGAAGACGCTGGCGAAGTCCACCGGCGAAGAGGAACAGGGTTGTCATAAAACCGGAGGTCTTCCGCCCATCGCGCGGAGTGGCAGCGCCCAGCAGCAACGCCAGGTGAGGCAGTTTCAAACCCCAAACCGCGACCAGGACGATTTTCCGATGGCATAGCCGCGCTTTCCATCCATCGGGCTGACCGGCTTCGCACAGAAGGGGATACAATGCAATGTCCGCTCTCGCCGCGACGGTCTAACGACTCGCAGAGGGGCTTAGCGAACGCGAATCGCACGCTATGGCTTGTGCCGGGAATGGATGAAGACGATGACGTGGCACCAGAGTGGGGACTTCGTGAGGACGAGAGCGACGCCAAGGCGCGTCGATTAGCGCGTTCGAACTCGTCGTCAGAACTGTCGCCAGTCGCCGAGCTGGTGCTGTCGGAGTCCCAGTTGCTGTCCATCGCGGAACGCGAAGCGCCACTCAACGCGTTATTAGGACAATGATCGGCGCGCGGGGAGGAACGCTCGGCGACGCCCCATCTCCTCTCAGTGACGGTTGCGTTGCAGTTGAAATCGGAAACATCGGCGGACGGGATTTGCGCGTTGGCCGCAGCAGCTTCTTCGAACGAGTCGTGCAGCGAGCGGATGAACTGCTGGCATCGCATGGCGGTGAGCTCGCGTTGCGCGTTGAGAAGCTCTAAGCGACACTCGAGCGCGTGCACTTCGACGTCCTCCACGCGGCTCCGAACGCGGGGAATTGTGAAATTCGACGGTTTGTGAGACGCATCGCACTGAGTGCGACTGTCGCCTTTGAAGTTGATTAAAGCGTCGGAAGGGGCTTTTCCTTTCTGAATCAGTCCTACGGCAGCCATTGCATCGGCTGCGGTTTTCGGCGCGACGACGATCGTTTTGCAAGGTTGAAAATCTCGAGAATCGCAGTGTGTAGTAGACGTTAGCCTGTGTTGAAACGCATAGAGGATGTAGACCAGGAGTCAGATAATAAACACGGGCCAAGATGGTCTGTCACGAAAAGTACGCGCGTGCCATATCTTAAACCTAAGAGTCTCCATACGTCCTCTCATCATAAAGCAAGAGCAAGTTTGAGGTCCTGTAATAATGAACAGAACCCAAGTGTGCGAATTGCCTGGTGGTGGTGCCTTCTGAAGCAAAAAGCTTCTGATCACATCCACTCCCTCCCCTCCTCACCCAACCCGTGGGGGCAAGAGGGCAACAGCAAGGGCGCCACTTCATGTGCTCCGTTCGCACATCCAACGCAGCCTGTCAAACGTCCGCACATGCCCTGCCACATCAGATTTGGCCTGTTTGCCCGCAACATCACCACTGCTCGCACGCACCGCATCTGGCCGAACCGCATTGCCGGGCCACTACTGTGTCCCCCACATGACGCCGCCCCCCTGGCAATCCATGCTGACGTGACAGAGTTTCGGCCAGCAACGCAATTTGAAGCCATCTTACTGGCTGGACTAGTTGAGTACACACCACACGACTCAGTTTGACCGCGGCAGGAAATTATTGCTGGCACCGTCAATACATATCGTGTAATGTACTCAACGTGAAGTATTGCTTTTATCAAAGCAGACTACATGGACATCAGTGGCTGGCATAAAACTGGCTGGGCGAGTGACTCAACATCACCACCACATGATCTGGTACCAACAATCAGTAACTATTTTACTGGAAAATGCTCATTGCTCCTACGTGAACTAGAAACTTGGCAAACTACTACCACTCCCAATTTCCAAAGTCTGCCTGCCGTCTCTCACCACCTTGTCTCCCCTCATCCACTTCACCTGCCAGTTCAGCGTCCCCACTCACTCTGGCGCCGCAGAGGTATCCAAGCTGTCCCACACGCCAGTGAGGTCATACTTGCTGGGCCCTGCTGCTGCCGGCACGCCTCCCAGCCCTGCTGCTACAGCCGCCGCTGCCGCCCCTGCAGCTTCGGGGAATGCATCCCAAATGCGGATGGCGCCGGTGTGCGAGCCGCTGCACATGCGACCATAGTCCAGATCCACTGCCACGTGCCGCACCTTTCAAGGGGGAGGTGGGAGAAAGGGGAGAGGGGAGGACATGGGTGTGTGGGGATGAGCGCACGGGCACGGCAAGTGAGGGATTTGGAGAAATGGAGAGAGGGGTAAGGGCTAAGTGATGGAGGCCCAAGGGATGGTTTCGAATGAGCAGAGAAGAGCACACGAGTGTGGATTCACAACAACAGAGATCCATGGAGAGGAGAAACAAAAGCGCGAGAAGGAAAGCATGATGAGAATGTGACGGCTCACCACATCGGGCATGTTGGAGACCATCTTGCTGCGCACGGCCCACGTGGAGGGGTGGATGCACGGTGAGAAATCCAAACAGGAGCTGTGGAGGGAAGGAGAGTCTGACTCACCACATCGGGCATGTTGGAGACCATCTTGCTGACGGCCCACGTGGAGGGGTCCCCGCCGCCGCTGCCGGTGCCACCAACGCGGCCATCGGCGTCGGTGAATTCGAGGAACATGAGCTGGTTGCTGGCCGTGGCCACGCCCGTCACCTCGTCCATCAGCCGCACCGCCACCACTGCTTCTGATGATGACGACCCACTGGTTTCCTGCGGGATGTACTGGTCTGTAGTGGGGAAGATGGGGGGTTGGGGCGCGGGGGGAAGGGAGGTTGCTGGCCGTGGCCACCCCCGTGACCTCGTCCATGAGCCTCACTGCCACCACCGCCTCTGATGATGACGACCCACTCGTCTCCTGCGGGATGTACTGGTCTGTTGGTTGGTGTGGGGTGGAGGGAAAAGGGAAAGGAGACGGGGAGAGAGGTCCGTGCGGGGAGTGTGAGAGTGGGAGTTGGGAATTGTGTGGGTATGGTTCCAAGCGAGTATGCCACCACCACCTCCGATGATGACAACCCACTCGTCTCCTGCGGGATGTACTGGTCTGTTGGCGGTGTAGGTTCAAGAGGGGGTGGGGGGGAGGAGAGGGAGAAGGAGAGGGGGGAGTGATAGTACAATGGAGAGTGGGAGAAGGTAATTGTGTGGATATGGGTCCGCGCGATTATGGTTCCGTGTGGGATTTTCGAGTTAAGCCTTGCCAATCCCATACACTCACCGTCCTCCTTCCAGATGCGGACCATGCCGTCTGCTGCGATAACTTTTGAGTCGATAAAAACCTGCAGAGACGCACACATGCACACATCCACACATGCATGCACGCGTGCACACGCACACACCCACACTCACCGTCCTCCTTCTTCCAGATGCGGACCATGCCGTCTGCCGATCCGGTGGCGAGGCGGTGAGACGACGTGCAGTAGTCCATGGTGCTCACTGCGCCGCCGTGGGCGGTCAGGATCTTCTCACAGTCGCCCGTCTCCACGGACCAGATCTTGGCCGTCCAATCGTGGCTGCCCGTGATGATGATGTCCTTGTTCACCAACACACAGCTGCCACGTGGCCATGCCCGGGGGGGGGAGGGGGGATGGGGGGCGGGGACGGAAGGGGGAGAGGGGAAACACACGAGGGCAAGAGAAGGAAAGATGGGGGATGAAGTGTGTGGAGGGAAGGGTCGTTACAGTGGTGAAGCGAGACGCAACGAAGGTCAAAGGGCTGGACGCAGCATTGCCAAGCCTGCACTTGTGATGTGAATGTCATGTGCATGAGTGGGACCGTGGTGCGATCGTGAGTGGGACCGTGAGAGCGGCGCACCTGACCCAGTTGCTGTGCGCCTCCAGGAAATGCATCTCCCTGCCCGCCCTCATGTCCCACACCCTCGCCGTGCTGCAGTGTGGAAGGGGGAGATGGGGAAAGACGGGGCAAGAAGGGGTGAGAGGGGGCGAGAGGGGGTGAGAGGAGGCGAGAGGTGGGCGAGAGGGGGTGAAATGGGGTGAGATATGGGGGAGGATGAGCGAACGACGATGGATGCGTGAGGATGGGATGATGAGAAGTGGGTGGAGGGCCAAGGAAGTGGATAAACAGTGTTGGGTTGAAGGGTAATACAGCTTAGGAGCAAATGAAGGAGGAAGAAAACATGAGGAGGGAGGGGAGAAGGAAGGGGAGAAGTGGAAACGAGGCATGCGGAGGTTTACGAGAAGCATGCAGCAGCCGCACATGCACTAGCCGTTTTAGAGACACACATACCCATCAGTGTGCCCCGTGGCAATGAGCCCTCCCGCGTCCTCGTGCCAGCTGAGGCACAGCACAGCAGCGCCCTGTGCGGGCAACCCACCCTATGCCCCACCTGTGAAGCCCGGCCCAGTCAATCATACACATACCCATCAGTATGCCCTGTTGCAATGAGCCCTCCCGCGTCCTCGTGCCAGCTGAGGCACAGCACTGCAGCGCCCTGTGCGGGCTGTGCTCCCTGTGCCCCACCCCACACGCCCAGCTCAACCACACATGCACATACCCATCAGTATGCCCTGTTGCAATGAGACCCCCCGCGTCCTCATGCCAGCTGAGGCACAGCACTGCAGCGCCCTGTGCGGGCTGTGCGACGGTGAGAGCGCGGCGGTGCGAGCGCATGTCCCACACCTCCACCAGCCCGTCCAGACCTGCTGTCACTGCCGCACTGCGCGCGAAGCCAGAGAGGAAGCGCACACAGGAGATCTGTGTGGTGGGAGGGGGTAAGGGAAACGGGGGGAGAGAGAACGGGAGTGTGTCATGAAAGCATGTGCCACACATCCACCTGTACAGCCCTGCTGTTACTGCCGCTCTGCACGCGAAGCCGGAGAGGAAGCGCACACAGGAGACCTGGGGGAGGGGGGGTGTGCGGGGCCAGGGGAACGGGAAAAAAAGCGCGCCACGTTTTCAATCACAGGTGGCGTTCCAACATGCACACTCACTGTGGCAGTGTATACTTTTAATCTTCAAGGTGCGCCAAAAATCAATCAGAAGAGGCACTCACGGGGGCGGTGTGGGCGTCGAGCGTGGCGAGGGGCAGTGAGGTGCGCTTGTCAAAGTGCACCACCTTGCAGTCGTCGCCTCCGGACAGAATACTGCTAGCGTTGGATGATATGGCTCGCACCGTGCTGGGGGGGATTAAGGGGGGAATGGGAGAAGTGGGGACTTGGAGGGGAGGTGAGCTTATGAGATAGCAGGGTGTGAGCGCAGGAATGAGGCAGTAGGGAGGAATGGAGGGGAGATTTGATGTGGAGGCATGCAGATGTGAGGTTGCAAGGGAAGGGAGCAGCAGTGAGTGCGCACCCTGCTGGCTTTTGTAGAGTGCCCCATTCCCCCAACTTTACTCCACACCCTCTCCCATCTCAACACCCTTGTCCCATGCAGCCCCCCCCCCCATGCACCCTCGTTCCCCATACAACTCCCCGCCCATGCATCCCCCCCCTCACGCACCCCTCGTGGCCGCGCATGGTGGCGCGCATCTCCGCCCCCACACGGTTCGCACTCCACAGCTTCACCTGCGCGCCCCACATGTGCAGAGAGACGAGGGGAGACGGTTGGGAGTGGACCGGGCAGAGGAAAGGGGAGAGCAGCAGAGGAGAAAAGTAAATTGGTGGAGGGTAGAGGATGGTGAGAGTGGAGAGGAGAGGATAGGGGATAACGAAATCGTGGATGTCAAACGCACAGCAGCAAGCATCAGTCAGTCACTGTGCGAGCAGCCAAGCAGTGAGAGCGCCAGCAGAAAGGCAGTCAGCACCACCTGCAGGCAGCCCTGGGCTCACGGTTCAAGTCAGAAGAAGCCAGCAGCAGAAGCAGGTATGAACTCAGGTTGAGGGTGCATTGAAGCACGGACTGCCCGTCACTCACGGTGCGATCAGCAGAGCCGGAGACGAAGTAGCCGGCATCATCACAGCCGGAGAGCAGGTCGCCAGGGGATAAGCACGAGCGCACAGCACAAGACATGAACCTTTCTCTCTGCGGCTAGCCATGCACTCACAGTTCGGTCAGCCGAGCCGGAGACGAAGTAGCCGGCGTCATCACAGCCGGAGAGCAGGTCGCCCAGGTCGCTCACGGACCCCACGTGCAGCGCTGTCACTGCTGCACTGTGGCCTCGCAGCACACGCACTCCCGTGTTGCCCTCCTTCCTCTGATGCACCGGGTCTGACGGGCAGGCGCACAGTATTGGGGGGAAGGGAGGACGGGAGGACGGGGGAAGCGGGGAGGATGGCGGAAGGGGGGAAGGGAGGAGGTTTTGAGGGGATGGGGACGGGAAGGGGAGAGGCTTTCAGGTGGTTGATTTCGGCATGTGTGATTGTGATGTGATGCTGCTGACAGCGATGGTGCTGACACCATTGGTGCTGATAGGAATAGTGCTGAGCCATGCTCGTGTGGAGCCAGGACCAAAGCGGAGCTGGCAGGGCCCTGCTTTTGCACATAATGCAAGCAGCTTGCGCGCACCTGCTCTCGTGAGGGTCGTGTGCCCACGGTCCGCGCGGCGATCAAGCGCATCCGCCTTGCCCTTTCCCCTGGGGCTCGTCAGCCCTCCGCCCCCGCCCTTGGGCGTCGGGGTCGCCGCTCCCTTCCCCCCCACCTCAAAGTTCACGCCCCGCCGACCCGCCTTGCTCTTGCTCCGCGCCAGACCCTTATGCTGCACCGCGCCCCCGCCCTCGCCCTCCAGAGTGTTATTACTGTCCACGCGCGCCATGCCGTCCGCCCCTGCGCCTCCCCCGCCCCCGCCCCCGCCCTTGAGGCGTGCGGCCTGCTCCATCTTGGGGGCGATGCGCGGTGCCAGCGCCATCATGAGCGCCAGGCGTGGCGGGCCGTAGAAGCGGAACTTGAGCTGAATCAGGGACAGCTGCCCGCGCAGCAGGTTCTGTGGTGAAGAGGGGCGGAGAGGGGGAGGGTAGGGGGAAATTTTGGGCGAATATGGTGCTGATTGGTGGTGTGGCAGGCTATACAAGCGGAACAAGAGGGGGAATGAAATTCAGGGGGAATGTGTGACTGTTGCACTGCGCACCCATCGCTACTCATTGACAGCTGCCCCCTGCAATGAATGAAAGCTCCACCCATCCACCATTCACCCATCAAGCCATTCATTCATCCACCCCCCCTCCCCAGCCACCTCCCCCACCCCTTCCCTTCCCGTCTCCCCTCCCTCCAGCGGCACGGCACCTGGCGCTTCTCTCTGAGGCCGTGCTCGCTAGCGAGGTGCAACAGCATCTTCCACGTCTCCTTGTCCGCTATGCCCAGCTCCACCTGATACGAGGGGGAGGGAGGGGAGGGGAGGGGAGTGAATGGAGGGAGGGAAAGAGAGGGCACAAAGGTGCCGCAGCATCTTCTACGTCTCCTTGTCTGCTATTCCCAGCTCCACCTGATATAAGGAGGAGGGAGGGGAAGGGAGGGGAGAGGAGGGGAAGGAAGGGGGAAGGCAGGGGAGTGAATGGACGGAGGGACGATAGTGAGAGAGAATATGAAGGCAACTTGCACATGGGAGTCTGACAGGGTGAGCTGAGCACAGGCAAGCAGGCAGAGGGTAGCCACTCATGGGGGCTGAGAGTCTAGGGAGGAGGCGTGGCACAGAAATGTGGTTGACGAGAGCGCAGTGAGAGGACAACCACAGGGAGATGGGGGCGTTGAAAGAATGGAGGCGGAGAGGTGGGCAGGCGAGAAGGGGGTTGGGACAGGGGAAGGGAGGAGGCTGGGGAGATGGGGCGGGAGGGAAGGGAGGTGGAGGGGCGGGGGGAAAGAAGGGAGGTGGGGCGGGCGGGCGGGTACCATGTGGAAGGCGCAGGCCTTGAGTGTAAGCATGACCATCTGTGAATAGTTGCCAAAGGAACTGTTGGGCGCCGGGGAAAGGGGGAACAGGGGGAAGGGGGAAGGAGAAAAGCGGAAGGGAGAAAGAGGAAGCGGGGAAGGGAGACGAGGAGGTGAGGAGGGGTTGGAGCAAAGGAGGAAAAGGTGTGTGGCTGAGCGGTGGGGCATGCGAGGTGTGCCGGGAAAATGACGCAAGGGGCAGATCAGAGGATGATCTCGAGGAAGGCAGCAGGGCAGAGGAAAGGTGAGGCGAGAAGAGTGTAGAAGAAGCTGTGCAGATGGCAGGGAGGAGACGAGGGCAGAGTGCTTACTCTTCTCCAAGCTCCTGCATGCGCTGCTCAAAGAGCTCGTCCCACAGGCTGCAGTGGTGGCCGGGAGGGGAGATGGGAGCACGGGGAGGACAGGATGAGCAAAGATTGGAGGGGTTGAAGGACGAACAAGTGCTCTTGACACACGAGCAGGACTGACAAGATCGAACTGCCGGGAAAGTGTCGCCTGTGAGTGTGCTACAGGCTTGAGTGACTCACGCCTGCGAGTGCCAGACGTGCAGGGAGCCGAGGTAGCGGCGCATGAAGTCGAGCATGCCGAACTCGTCGCGGAAGTAGATGCGCCCCGCTATCTCCAACAGCCCCCCCGCCACCTGGTAGTCCCTCCTCTCGCCCGCGCGCGCCGCTGCTACCAGCATCTGGTGAATGTGGGGGGGGAGAGGGTGGGGGGGAAAGGAGGGAGAGTGAACATATGGAATGGAAAGTAGATGCGCCCCGCTATCTCCAACAGCCCCCCCCCCCCCACCCGGTAGTCCCTCCTCTCGCGCGCGCCGCTGCTACCAGCATCTGATGGCGGGAGGGAAAGGGGGGAAGTGGGATGAAGAAGAGGAGTGAAGAGGGAGATGGGGGGGAATGGGAAAAAAGGAAAGAGTGGGAGCTAGAAAAAAGATGTTCCAGGTCAATCAATCATGCCCTTGACTCCAAGCATGTGGCACACCACCCCTTTCCCCAGCCGCTCACCATCATCACCACCTCCATGGCCAAACCCAAACCCCACGAGGTCCCTCGCCCCAGCTCCTCACACCCCTTCTCCCCAGGCGCTCACCAGCTCACGACACGCCATGAACATCTCGCGCGTGAGCTCGCCCGACCACCCCTGCACGCCACCACAGAGGCAGGCACACAGGAACACAGGCGTGCAGACAGGCAGGCAGGCAAGCAGGCAGGCAGGAATACAGAGCGAGCAAGGGGAGGGGAGAGTGGGTGGTGTGTTTGAGTGAGAGATTGGGGAGAAAAAGACACCACAGGAAGGTAGGCATTTAGAAAGGGTGTGAACGGCACATCGGGGTGCGATGGAGACAGAAAAAGTCACCACAGGAAGATAGGCATTTTAAAAAGGCGATATGCAGATGGTGGTGGGTGAGCAGCAGGAGGCGAGGGGAGGGGAGGGGAGGGGAGGGGTCGGGACAGGAGTGGAGCAGAGGGGAGGAAATGGTAGGGGAGGAGAGGGAGGGGGGGGGGGGGGGGGGGGAGGGAGGGGGGGGACGGAAGGGGAGGGGAGGGAAGAAGAGTGGACAGAAGGGGAGGGAACGGAAGGGGAGGGTAGGGAGGGGAGGGGAGCGGAGGGTCGTACGATGGTGATGTTCTCCTCCAGGCACGCGAGGAAGCTGGAACCCCCAAAGCCCTCTGGGTCCGACTCGATCATGCCTGCATGCCGCACAGCACCGCACAGCACAGCACCGCACAGCATGGGCGAGGTGTTGAACGACCGGGACTGACTTGTCAGGATCCAGGGGAAGAGGTGAAGAGCAAGAACAAGGGGAAAGCAACAAGAGACGTGGGGGCAGAGTGACGGGGTGGGGTGAAGTGCGGTGGGGTAGGGTGGATACCGTAGATGGTGCCGTAGTGCTCTGAGCCCATGGGATGCTCGCCGGGAGGTAAGCCTCTTAGTTGGTCCCATAGTTGCTGCTCACGTGCATGCATGCACAGCACATAACGACATGCACACAGGCACATTGGCACACAGGCACAGATGCAAACCCATGAGCGTTGCCATGCAAGGACAGGAAGGTGAATATTAGGAACATGCAGAGTTGCATGGTATGATACCAACGTGGGTCAGTGAAGGAGGGGAGAGAAGGGAGACAGCGAGAGAGAGGGGAGGAGCACTCACACAGAGGCGCACTTGAGTGTCCACCTTCATCATCTCCCTTTGCGCCTGCCCAGATGACAACATAATCATCACATGAGAAAGGGGGAGATGGGGGAGATGAACAGACAGTGTGAGACACCCTGGGAGGTGAGACAGAACGGGAGAGCAGGAGGTGAGACAGAACGGGAGAGCGGGAGGTGAGACAGAACGGGAGAGAGGGAAGTGACAGAGAGAAGAACCAAGAGGGAGAAAAGGACGTTCAATTGCATTGAGGTCGTTGGGAGGGATGCGGCGGCTGCTGTCCACCTCAATGCTCATTCACCCTCCCCCACCATTTCTCACTCCTTCCCACCGCCCATTTTCTCCTAAACGCACGCCCCCCAAGCAACGCACCCCGCGCTCCTTGGAGCTGCGCGTGCGCCCCAGATGCCGCTCCTTGAGCCACGCCCCACAGCCATGCCCTCACACAACCATGCCCTGCCCCCTCCCCCCCACGCCCACCACCACACACACCCAAACCCCCCCCCCCCCACACACTGCACTGCACGCACCCCGCGCTCCTTGGAGCTGCGCGTGCGCCCCAGCCTCCGCTCCTTGAGCCACGCCCTCATGGCCTTCTCCACCGCCAGACTGCCCTCCGCGTGCCGGAAGGGGAGTGGGGGAGAGGAGGGGAGCGCAACCGATAGACACATGGGGGGGTAGAAAAGGGCGATGGGGAAGGGAGAGGGAGGAGCCGGAGCAATGCAGGCACACAGGATCCAGAGGGGGAGTGGGAGGCGAGGGGAGAATTGAGGGCAGGGAGGAAGCAGCGGGGGCTGGAATCGATGAGAGGGGGGACGATGGCGAGAGCAATGAAGTCAACGGTATCAGCGACCAGACGAAAGCGCGCTGCAACTGCCCGCACATACGTGGGCCAACACTCCACACCGCTCTAACTGACACAGAGGGCATGGCAACGCAACAGTGGAGGAACTTAATACCCCCTCTCCCGCGTGCCCACACACATTCACACGCACCTTGAGCCCCATGCACACACACACACACACTCACATGCATCTTGAGCCCCTTGCACACACACACACACACTCACATGCATCTTGAGCCCCTTGCACACACATACACACACTCACATGCATCTTGAGCCCCTTGCACACACACACACACACTCACATGCATCTTGAGCCCCTTGCACACACACACACACACTCACATGCATCTTGAGCCCCTTACACACACACACACACACTCACATGCATCTTGAGCCCCTTGCATACACACACACACACTCACATGCATCTTGAGCCCCATGCACACACACTCACTCACATGCACCTCAAGCCCCATGCACACAGACCCTCACACAAACGTTGATCCCTGCACACACATGCACATGCACGCACCTTCTGGCCTCCTGCTCGCCGCCTGCCTTCTCGTTGTTGGGGAAGCGCTGGTACACATACCGCCCCACTGCTCCCCGCTTCGCCGCTGGGGCAGGGCGGCAGGGGAGCAGGCGGGTGGAGAGAATGAGAGAGGGGTGAAGGGCGTAAGCGAAGCGAATAGGGCCGTTTGCAGTTGAGAGCAGGCATGCAGTAAACCCAGTAGGCTGGCCCGCGCAGTGCAGTGGCTGACAATCACATCTGGCGGTGCTACACTACCTGATTGGGCGCTCACCTGCAGGCAGCACGCACCTGGGAGTGGTGGCGGCACCTGCATGGCAGCACGCACCTGGGAGTGGTGGCGGCACCTGCATGGCAGCACGCACCTGGGAGTGGTGGCGGCACCTGCATGGCAGCACGCACCTGGGAGTGGTGGCGGCACCTGCATGGCAGCACGCACCTGGGAGTGGTGGCGGCACCTGCATGGCAGCACGCACCTGGGAGTGGTGGCGGCACCTGCATGGCAGCACGCACCTGGGAGTGGTGGCGGCACCTGCATGGCAGCACGCACCTGGGAGTGGTGGCGGCACCTGCATGGCAGCACGCACCTGGGAGTGGTGGCGGCACCTGCATGGCAGCACGCACCTGGGAGTGGTGGCGGCACCTGCATGGCAGCACGCACCTGGGAGTGGTGGCGGCACCTGCATGGCAGCACGCACCTGGGAGCGCCAGGTAGATGTCAACAGTGAGGAACTCGGTGGGGGGCAGCGGGGGGAGCGTGATCTGCGGGTCCTTGTTGTGAGCGCGCTGCATGATGGCATCAAACTGCGTGAGCTCCTCAGGGGAGTGCGCCAGCTCGCACTCAAAGAAGTTGTGCCACCCCAGCGTTGACAGCATCGCCTCTATCTGCCTCGCACAGCGTGATGAACAACACACATAGCAAGCAACGGGTCATGACATGGAGACCGGGGCGGAGAGAGTTGAGGGGTGTGGGAAAAGACGGGCACGGGAAGAATGGATGTGAAGCAGTGGAAGGAGTAGGAGGGCGAGGAGTGACAGTCGATGCTGGCGTTTGGGTTGTGGGACAGTAGGCTGACACTTGTACGCTTTTCGCTATTCTGATTCTCCAGCAGCAACCAAATCGCTGGTCCAGCGTGTGGAGTGTTAGAGATGTGGGTTTGGGGGTCGTGGGTGGTGTGGGGTTGTAAGGGGGATGTACGAAGGGCTCATTGGCATGGACGTACGAAGGGCTCGTTGGCGTGGTCGTAGAGCTCGGAGCGGCGCAGCAGGAAGCTGAGCTTGTCAAACACCAGCTTGCCCGCCTCAAAATGATCCTCCATCTGCCGCACCGCACCGCACCGCACCGCACACAAAGGAACAGGCAAAGGGGAAGAGGAAAGAAGGTGGGGAAGGAGGGGGGAGGAGGGGTTTGAGCGTGAGAGAATGGGTGTGGGGTATGGCAGGTGCAATCGGCAGGGACACCGATACCCGGGGAAACAGAGTGGTAGATGTAATGCACCAGTGGTGAGTGGATGGACTGGGGGAAATGCAGTGTGTGAGTGCGAACGTGTGAGTGTGCGAGTGTGAGCGTGTGAGTGTGAGGGTGTGAGTGTGAGTGTGTGAGCGTGTGAGTGTGAGTGTGTGAGAGTGTGAGTGTGCGGGTGCACGCACCACAAAGTCCTTGTATCCATGCAGCACAGACGCCAGGAAGCGCAGGAACAGCTGCCTGCACACGGCAAGCAGCAGGGATTTGGGAACAACATGGCACGTGGTAGGGGAATGTTGGGGGCATGTTGGAGGCATAAGCTGTGTTCAAAGGAGCACAAGTTGAGCACAGCAATGGGAATAAGTCAGAGTGTCAAAAGCAGCGCCATGCTGCAATGTCGCAGCAGCAAGCATCTAAGCAAGCCCAGCTGAGCTGTTCGCCACACTGCCACCCTCACCGGAACTGCTCATCATGGTGGCGACCCCACGTCTTGAACGTCGTCTCGTCAAACTGCTGCACGCCCGCAGCGAGCAGCGGTGAGCAGTGGTGCCGCAAAGACTCCAGCACGGCCAGGTGCGGGTGGATCAGCGCGTGCAGCGCCTGCCTCACCTGAACTGCTCGCTATGCTGCCGCCGCCGCACTCATGCCCTGCTTGCAGAACTCACCGAAACTGCTCGTCATGGTGACGGCCCCAGGTTTTAAACGTCTTCTCGTCAAACTGCTGCACGCCAGCGGCCAGCAGCGGCGAGCGGTGGTGCCGCACAGACTCCAGCACGGCCAGGTGCGGGTGGATCAGCGCGTGCAGCGCGGCCCTCAGCTCGGAGGCCTCTGGCTCGGGCAGAGGCGGGATGTCCTCCTCCTCCTGCTCGCTCTCGAGACTCATCATGCGCACGCGGTTGGAGTCTAGGTCCACCAGTACCACCCCGTCCAGGTCGTCTTGCAGTTCGAACTCGGATGTGTTGATGCCGTAGATGAATATGCCCGGCGCGTGCAGCAGCTCCAGCAGTGGCAGCGGCAGCACCGGGATGTACGGCAGCTGGGGGGTTGGTGGGAGGGGTGAGGGAGGGGGACAGGAGAGAAAAGGGGGTAGTGAAGTGCAGAGCGAACAGGCGCCTTGCGTTTTGCATCGAGTGGCGGGGAGGTGGTGCGCGCAAGCGAACGGTGACACAAAGTAAGGGCGTGCGCAGCAGGCAACCTGGCATGGCTGGCGGGTGGGTGCATCCACGACAACTGCCATGCCATGCCTCTTAGGGCGGCTCAAACCTCCCCTGCCCCCGCTCACCCTCTCGGGCCTAAAGCCCATGTCTATCATGTCACGGTTGCTCACCATCCACTTGTAAGGGTAGAGCAGCCCTGACACCGCCTCCGCCACGTTCGTCAGTAGCTTCAGCCTGCAGGGGTGCGAGCGCATGGCAGGCAGACGGGAGTAGAGGTCAGCAGGGGGAAGCGGGGAGCAGTGCGTAGGCAGAATGTGGCATGGAAAGACGGAGGCACGTAAAGGTTGTGGAAGCACAACAAGCCATCGGTTCTACAATGGCTGTAACGGTTGTGCCAGTAAAGGTTGTGATACTCACATGCTCCCCAGCAGCAGCACTCGTCTCTCGAGGAGCACGGCTGTGAAGAGCTGGATGATGTTGTCAATGTCGAGACAGCTTACGAGGGGTAGAAACGACACCTGAGGGCGTGTGAGGGAGGAGAGGCAGCATGCGTGGGGTAAAAAGTGGGGAGAAACGGCTGCACTTGATTCTGGGACGGACGAGATTGCAGGGGCGTGTGAACCGTGATGCATACTTTGAGAACGAGAGGAGCTACAGGTGCAAGGTAGCAGGCACATGGTGCTCCCAGGAGTGTGACGGGTGTAGCACAGCGAGAGAATGGAGGGCACTGACGTGCGAGGAGGGGAGGGCGTGGGGGTCGGGCAGGGTGGTGGAGAGCACAACGCTCTCGACGCTGAAGACCACCGTCTGCTGTGGGCCTGATGGCAGCGGCACCGACATCACCCCCGTTATTATGTCCCATATCGGCCGCCTGCCATGCCGTGCGATACCAGGACATTTCAAATCACAACCATTCACACGCCATGCCATGCCATGCCATGTGGTGACATGCCAGAAAAACACACCAGAGCATTTGATAGAGTTGATGACTTGGTGCAATGTGATGGCCAGGGAAAGCTGGGAACGCGCAGCTTTGCACGTGAACAGCAGGAGGTTCATTTCAGTCATGAGCATGGACCATAGGAAAAGGGCAAGTGGGAACGCACACGATGACAAACGGCGACCAAGATGGCAAGCGAGAGCAGGGAGGGCAGTAAAGGGACGGAGAGCACCGATGGGAGAATGGGAGGGAGAGGAGGGATGGTAGGGAGGGAGGGCGAGCGAGGAGGGAAGGCAGGGAGGGCAAGCAAGGAGGGCGGAGAGGGGCAGGGAAGGGGAGGGGACTGACGGGCTGCCGAGGGGTTGGAAGGCGAGGCGGTGGATCTCAGTGAGGAGGTCGGCGAAGGTGTCGAGGAAGGGGTAGTGGCTGATGACGCAGAGACACTTGTCCGCGTACGAGTTGGGCGGAATGCTGTACGCCTGCGCCACGTCGTCGTCCACCAGGTCGCGGAACGCCAGCACTGACACGTACACCTTGGTGCCGTCGCCCTCTGGGGAGGGGAGGGGAGGGAGGGCGGGGGAGGGGAGCGCGGAGGGGAATGCGGGAGGGGTAGGGAAACCAGGTCGCGGAACGCCAGCACTGACACGTACACCTTGGCGCCGTCGCCCTCTGGGGGGGGGGGGGGGGAGCGGAGGGGGGGAGCGCGGAGGGGAATGCGGGAGGGGAAGGGAAACCAGGTCGCGGAACGCCAGCACTGACACGTACACCTTGGTGCCGTCGCCCTCTGGACAGGGGAGGGGGGAGAGGGGGAGGAGAGGGGGGGTGAGAGGGGAGGGAGGAGGGGGTGTGTGGGAGAGAAGAGGTGGTGGGAGGGGTCGTTTGGAAGAGGAAGGAGGAAGAGTAGGCAGAGTGTTAGATGGTGCACGGAGGAGCGAGAGGCTCAAACGGCACGGAGAACGGGCTCTCAGACGAGACAGCTGAGGCGCGACGACTCTCCCTGGCGCGCGTGTGTGACGGACGCTGCGTGCGGGCAAGAGGATGTGAGAATGTGACATTCGCGCATGGGCGAGGGACTGCGACAGCCCAGGTGTTATGGAAGGGCGAGCGGGTGTGGGCCCGGGAAGCGTACCGGTGAGGATGATGGGGTAGGATCGCGGGAACGACAGCGGCTCGTCCTGGTTGGCGCCATGGCTGTAGAAGCGCAGCCCGCCGGGCAGCACGGCCTGGAGGGAACGGCGCAGGGGGGCGGCGCAGGGGGGCGGCGCAGGGGGACGGCAAAGGATGACGCGCGAGGACGCAGGGGAACACATGGTTGGAAGCGGGGCAAGAATTAGCAAGAGAAGCAGCGACGGACGTTGAGCTGCGGAGCTGTGGAGCTGCGGAGATTCGGTGCGAAAAGCGGAAAGTAAGAACTTTTTGTTCATAAGGGACGCGTGTGCGTGCGTTGGACGCGCACATCACGCAAAATGCAGAACCCGCGTAGAAGCAACTGTTCGGTTGACAACGTAAGAGGTGCGGTGCGGTGCGCAGTCAATCCAGCTCTACACTCCTCATCGTGAACTCCGCCTGAAAATATAATGTGATTCTTAAAGACCCAGACATGGGAGCTTTTTATTGAGAGGATATCGCACCAGCGGAAGCATTTCCGGAATCTTAAACTTCTTATGCTCCTCAACCGGTAGGCGATCAATGACCACAGGCATGTACGAAATGCGCACGCCATGGCTCTTCATGCCGTGGAATCCGCGCGTGCCGTCCATCAACCGCAGGTCCAGACCCAAGCCGCACACCACAAAATAGTCTATGAATCGCGACTTCCATAGCGGCCCGTCGGCCGCTACAGCTGGCGCTGCCGCGGCTCCAGCTGCAGCAGCCATGTGCGCTGCTTAGTGTGTGTGCGATAGGAAGTGATTGACTTGGTAGAAATGAGAGGGAAATCAAGTCGGGAGAATGACTGAATGCATCACCAATGCGGATGTTACGAAGCTAAGGACGGAGGTTTCGCCATGCTGACGGAGAAATGGCGGCGCTCGGAGTTACGGAGCTACCTCCTACGGCAGAGACGTCGCCGCGCGAAATGACCAAAACGTGCAGAAAATCGCTCACAAAATGAGGACTTTCGAGCTCGCGTTGTTCGCCTAGCGGGGTGCTCCTGCGAACTATGGCGGCCGGCGTCAATTAGGTTTAGCAGAATGCCAGGAAAGTCCGATGACTGTTGGATATTCTCGAGGCCCCGCTGGGGACGTAGATGGAGCAGTGTGCTTGGGTCATCAGTGAGCGTATAACGGGTATTGTAGAATCGAATGGTGTAGGGGTTGGTGAAGGGAAATACTGCTCAAAGGAGTGTTATTAGTTGTCAAACAGAGTTGCACGGAACAACAAATAACGAAGCCGCGACACTATGGATTGACGATACAATGAAAAGCACGAAATTATATAGCGGGTCAACCTAGCTCGCAAGGACCTCGGAAACACGAGGTTGGGTGCAATTTGGGCAAAGGTTCAGCAGTAAGGAACCCGGCCGAACGTGCACTTATGTGTCAAATGTTATACCCTGTTGTGGGTCATGCTATATGGGGTACAAGCAGTTAGGGTTAGGCATGTGTACCCCAACCCTATCAATCCTACTCATTCCGCTGTAGCTACTTTCTGAGATGGTATCAGCTAGGTTCCTCGCTCCTAGGCCCTAGGTTTAGGGTTTCGTTCCTTCCCTAGCTCGCCACACACGCCAGCGCGCTAGTGCGCTAAGCCCTAAGCCGCCAGCCAGCCAGCCAGCTGCCACCGCGCCACCCGCCCGTAGGCTCGCGCAGCCCGCCCGTAGGCCTGCCCGTCGCCTAGACCGCCTGCAGGCCCGCTCGTCGACCCGCAGCGCCGCCCGTAGGCCCGCGCGCCGCGTCGCCCGCCGTCGATCAGCTGCGCAGCCCGCTCGTCGACCCGCCGCGCCGCCCGTAGGCCCGCGCGCCGCGTCGCCCGCCGTCGACCAGCTGCGCAGCCCGCTCGTCGAGCCGCCGCGCCGCCCGTAGGCCCGCGCGCCGCGTCGCCCGCCCGTCGACCGGCTGCGCAGCCCGCCCGTCACTCAGTACGCCGTGCCGCACGCCCCATAGCGCGCCGCGCCGCCCACCACCCAGCGCACTGCACCGCCCACCAGCCAGCGTACCGCGCTGCCCACCAGACAGCGCACTGCGCCGCTCACCTACCCACCTACATGCCTCCCCGCCTGCCCACACGTTACTGATTGTCTCTCCCCTCCCGCGGCTGGCAGCCGCGCTCTCTCAGTCTCGCCCTCTATGGCGACCTCCCGAGTCCTTCCTTTCGACCCTGAAGGGCGACCTATAGATTTTAGCACGTGGCTTACGCAGGCGCAGCGCCACCTTAAGAGCCAGCGGCAGGATGGCGTGCACTTGTTCGCCCACGCATCCGGTACTCAGACCGCTCCCCAGCAGCCTAGCCCGCTGCCCACTACCCCACCGCCTACTCCTGAGCAGGAGGCCGAGTACCAGCGCCAGCTCCTCGCTCGCGACGTGTGGGAGTCTCGTGACGCCGCTGCCTGCCTCGCCCTGACCGACCTTCTCCCGCCGACAGAGGCAGTCCACTTCGCTCAGGTCGAGTCTGCTGCAGATCTGTATAAGGCTATTGTTGCTCGCTACTCTACTCCCTCCTCTGCGTCGCTCAGTCGCCTCCTCGTACCCTTTATCTACCCTGACCTCGCCTCCTTTGAGACTGTCTCTGACCTCGCTACTCACCTGCGCTCCCTTGACGCTCGCTTTCGCGCTGCTTGCACTGAGGACCAGCTTGCCCTTGCCCCGCCCCCTATGTGGCTCACTATTCACTGGCTAGTCACTCGCCTCCCTGACCGCCTAGCCACAGCCCGCGATGCGCTTCTTCTGAAGCACCCCACTGAGCTTACCATCGATCTTCTTGAGACTGCTCTCTCGAAGATCGAGAGTAACCTCCTCACCGTTGCCTCTGCCTCTTCCGCGCCTCCTCCTCGTCTTTTTGAGGGGTGTGCGGTACCACAGCTTCCCACCTTCTCTGCCTCCCTTGCCACTCCCACGTCTTCTGCCTCCGAGGAGACGGCGGCTGTTTCTGTCTTTGGCAGACAGAAACGTGGCAAGGCCGGCAAGAAGGGCGGGAAGGGCGGCGGGGGTACTGGAGGTGGTGCGGGTAGTGGCGGTGGCGGTGGAGCAGGTGGTGGGAGTGGTGGTGGGGGTGGCTCGGGACCTGACGGCCCTCCTTTCGACGGTGGAGTTTCCATTGGTGGTGAGGGGCTCCAGCAGCAGCAGCAGCCGACTCCTCAGCAGCTGCCACCGCCTGGACAGCAGCAGCGGCAGGGACAGCAGCAGCAGCAGCGACAGGGCCAGCAGCAGCGCCTACCGCAGCAGCAGCCTCAGCAGTGGGGCCCTCCGCAGCAGTGGGGCCCTCCGCAGCAGTGGAGGTCTGCGGGTCCCCCGAGCACTGGGCGCGGTGGCGCCCCCTCCAGTCGGGGACCTCGCGCGGCCGGCCGCGACGTTGGTCCCTGTGAGTACTGGATCCTTACGGGTCCTCGTAGGGACACGTACTGTGGCCGCCCCGACCACTCTGCTGCACGCTGCTTCAGTCGTCTCGACGACCTCTACCGCTTGCACCACGGCCCCTCCGCTCCCCCGCCGCCACGCTGGGGGACGCTGCTTGCTCGTGGTATTGCTGTTTTTGATATGACTATGGATGATGCTAGGTCTTATGCCATGTATGCTGATGTTGACTATAGTGCTCCTGGATCTGTGTACTTGCCTGTACCTAGCTTAGGATCTTTGCCTGTTGCTAGAGTAGGTGCTAGTGTAGGATCTTGCTTAGCTACTAGTACAGGTACTCCCTCGGCGGACACGTCTCTCTCCTTCACACTGGACTCAGGAGCGTCGCACTGCTTCTTCCGCGACTGCACGACTCTCTCTCCGCTACCGGCGCCTGTCCCTGTAGCACTGGCCGATCCCTCTTCGGGACCGGTCATTGCGACTCACGCCACTACTCTCCCGTGCCCAGCTGCTCCTTCTGGTTCCCTGACCGGCCTCCACGTTCCTACGTTCTCTAGGAACCTGGTTGGTGTGGGCACCTTGGCGAGACAGCACGTCGGTGTCTGGGTTGAGCCTTCTGGTGACACCGCAGTCTGCGTCGACGGTGACACGTACGCCCCCTTGGCCACTTTCCGCCAGGAGCCGGGCTCTGGTCTGTACACCCTCCGCACCGACCCCCGTCAGGTTCCCCCGTCCCACCAGGTAGCCGGGTCCAGTCAGGTTGCTGTGTCAGGTGTAGTTGCTGCGTCGTGCTCGTGTCGGTCGCTTGCCCACCCCACCGTTCTGTGGCACCACCGGATGGGGCACCCGTCCCTTCCTCGTCTGCGCGCCATGTCCAGTCAGCGTCTTGTCTTAGGCCTCCCCCGAGTCCTCCCGCCACTCCCGCCGTCCCCAGCTCCTCCGTGCGGTCCTTGTGTCCAGGGTCGGCTTCGCGCCACCCCTCACTCCTCCTCCCTTCGTCCGGCCACCGAGCCCTTCCAGACACTCCACTTAGACGTCTGGGGCCCCGCCTCCCGCCTTGGCCCTGAGCGGGAGAGTTTCTTTCTGGTGGTCGTTGACGATTTCTCTCGGTACACCACCGTGTTCCCTTTGGCGAAGAAGTCCGACGTGACTTCTACGCTGATCCGGTGGCTGCTCGCCACCGAGGGCACTCGTGGTCGTCGTGTCAGTTGTCTCCACTCCGACCGTGGGGGTGAGTTTCGCTCCGGCATTCTCGCCAGATTCTGTGCTGAGCAGGGCATCACCCAGTCCTGGACTCTTCCAGACTCTCCACAGCAGAATGGGGTTGCTGAGCGCCGCTTAGGCCTGGTCATGGAGATCGCCCGCACCTCCATGATCCACGCCCGCGCGCCCCATTTTCTGTGGCCCTACGCGGCTCGGTACGCCGCTCACCAGCTGAACCTCTGGCCTCGCGTCTCTCGGCCAGGGGCTTCACCGACCAGTCTTTGGACAGGGTCCCCTGGTGTTGCGTCGAGGTTTAGTGTCTGGGGCTGCTTGGCTCTTGTCCGCGACACCTCTGCGGACAAGATCTCGCCTCGTGCAGTCCCCTGTGTCTTCCTTGGTTTCCCAGAGGGCTCCTCTGACTTCACCTTTTACCACCCACCCTCCCACCGGTTCTTTGACTCTCGTGACGTCCGTTTCGACGAGTCCGTCCCCTACTACGTCAGGTACCCCTCTCGAGGTCTCCCGGTTCCCCCCCCTCCCCTCTTCCTGGCTCCAGCTCCTCCTCCTCCCGCCCCTGCTCCTCCGGTACCCCCCCCTGTTCCCGCTCCGTCTGGTGTGTCTCACGCTACTCCCCCTCCCTCGGTACCCCCCCAGGTCTCTCCTCCTTCCCCACAGTCGTCCTCACCGCCTCCGCAGCAGCCGTCGGCGCTTCCTTCACCGGCCACTGCGGACACTGAGGGTGTCGGTGCTAGCGGTGAGGGCTCTGGCGGTGCTCGCTCTGGGGGTGCTGGCGTTGGAGCTGTTCGTGCACCTACAGGAGCGGCCAGTTCTGGGGGTGCTGGCACTGGCGCTGAGCGTGCACCTGCCGCAGCTGCCCGTTCCGAGGGTACTGGAGCTGGTGGTGGTGCTGGAGCTGGTGGTGTTTCTGG